GCACGCACTCAGTCCCTACGCTCATGTACACTTGCTTGCACGTGTACTCACTTACAGTTGCACTCACGATTTAGAAACGCACATGACACACCTTTTTCCGCCGCGCGTCTCTCCCTCCAGCTTCCTCCCCCACAGTCTCACCGGAGCCGGCTGGCAGCTGGCGGCAGCTCCACGTACACCTCAATAATGTATCTGATGCACGGCGGAGCGCTGTCCACGTTGGCAGTGGACGGAACAGGCGCAGCCAGCAAGCTAGCGGCATCGGCCCTGGATGCGGCAGCGGCGCGTCGCCTCAGGCACACAGCGCAATCGCTCCAGGACGGAACGGGCCCTTGCCCGGGCAAGCTGCTGGACAAAGTCCACGGCTTCGGCACTCCACCGCCCACCCACTTCAAGGGCCATCACGACCCAGCCGGCAGCGAGACTGGCCTACAGCACGCAGTGGCGCGGGCACAGCCCGGTCCCCGGAGTCCGGGGCCACGGGTGCAACAGGGGCGACAAAACCACCAAGATCAGGGGCCGCAGGAGCAGCAGCAACGTTAGCCGCGGCACCAACGCTGGCAGAGGGCTTGGGCTGGACAGGCACGGGATCGCAGGGCGTGCCAATCAACGAAGGTTTCAGGACTGCGTGCGCTGCACATGGGCGCGGGAACGGGCGACGCACAGGGCATGGTAGGAGCGCCCGCACACTGGCCAGCGGCACGCGGTTGCTGAATCGGTCTCCTCCGGCAAAACGGGATCAGGGCAAGCAGGGCAAACATCCACATTTTTGCTCCGGGCATGGCTGGAGGCCCAGCGTGACTTCCGACTTGGGAAGGGAGGTGCAGCAACAGTGACCGCCTCATGTGTGCTGACCAGCGGGGTATTACAACGACCCTGGGCGCTCAGCAAACACCCTGGATCCGGCCTCCTCGCTGCCCATCCCAGCGGGCAGCGGCCCCCAGTGCACCCCCACGCGCGCTGCGACGGCGGCCCTCCCAACTTGGCGCGGACATAGTCTCCATCACTCCCGCTACGCTTCCTGATGAGCCATCCGTTCCGCCGCCTTCCCGCATCTTCCCGCCCAGCATCTTGCCGAGAGGACGCCGCCAGCAAGGCTCCCCTGTGAATTCCCCTGAGTTTCAGGAGTCACCCCGGCTAGACAAGTGGATTTTCTGGGTCTGGCGCTCGAGCCGCCCGTGTGGCCGCTTTTGCCGCGCCTCTGAGGACGCCCCTGGCTTTAGGCAAGCGCCGTTGCCGTGTCTAGCTCTTGAGCCATCGCACTTCCGTGCGCTGCCTCCGCGTGCGACTGCCTCTTGTACTTGCCCGTTGTTCCTGTGGCAGCGTGCGTGACCCTGCCCACGTGCAGGCGTGCTCCGCGCGCGCGCGCGCGGCGCGCCGCTGGAACGCCCTGCGCGAGTGTGCCGCGAGGCAAGGCACTGGTCACCACGCATGCGACACCAGCTTTTTGAGCAGCGACAGCCAAAACCGCATAAGACGAGAAGCGGTGCTGTCGGCCTCCTCTGCCGATTGGATGCGTCTTCTGCAGGAGGAGTCGTGGCCGATTTTGGGAGTCCCACATGCACAGGTGTCAGGTGACCCCCCACCATCCAAGAGACTTCGCGCCGTCCGGGACTTGAATCTGGGCGCCGCTCCAAGCGATGACCGGCGAATTGAAATCATAGCCAACGGGCCGCCAGTTCGCTGTCCTCGGCGGCGCTATGGCCAAGCCGCCGGAGCAGCATTGCGCGTTGCACGCCGGGCCGAGAAACGCACATACCCCAAGCTGATCGTCTGATAGTGCTCACGCTTGGGCCGCCGCCCGGCCCCCCCTTGCAGAGGGCCAAGTGCCCGACAGGGCGGAGCTGCCTTGGATGGCCGACGCGCTGCGTCAGTTGGCTTGCCAGCCCACACGCTTGTGCCGTCCCGATGGGTTTTGGAAGGATGCCTGACACCACTGCTACGTCCCCTGCCTCCGCACAGGAGGCGTTGCTACAGGTCTTCCTCGACGAGCGTGCCGCTTTGGCTTTGACATGTCTGTGTTGGCTGATCGGTTGCGCTTGGGGGGCGCTGAGCCCGCACTGCCGGCCGGGCCGCTGCCCGTCGCCCCGCCTGCGCTCAGCCCCGTTTCGCCGCCGGTGGGCCCGCTTCTTCATGGTTTTTCTCGAGGAGGACGTTGGCCTCGCAGCCCCCGCTTCGGCTCAGCCACGGGGAGCTCTCAGCGGCCAGTCGCCTGCGCTTGTCGGAGGGGACCTTTGCTGAGTTCCCGCGAGGCGACCCGCCCCGCTTTTACGAGCCCCTTGGCCCTGCACTTCAGGAGTTTCAGCAAAGGTCCCGGTCTCCGCCCACACTCTCCTCGCTAACCTGCGCCGTGCCCGGAAGGGAGCTGCAATGGGCCCCTGGGGCCACTCGGCGTTGTGCCCTCTAGTTTTGGATGACGTCGCAACTGGTCTGCCTTTTGTCCGAGCGGCCACGGATTCGGCGCGGGCGCAAGTTCCCCTTAGCATCGGCCCCTAATCCGCAAGGCAATCCGTGGTCCCCGCAACTTTGTGGCACAGCCGTAGTAATTAAAGGAAACGTGCCCCCGCAGTCCCCCTAATGGGGCTGGATTTGAGTACGGGCAGGAAAATATCTACTTTCTAGAATTGGTTTAGTATTGGCTATTCTAAAAGTAGTATTCCCGGATTTGGGACTTCCGAAACAATTTTTTATTATTAGGGCGACCTTTTTTAATAGGGGGAAGTGATTACAGACATACATTACGCACATACATAAATACATACAAACATACATTACATTACATTACATACATTACATTACATTCATTACATAAAAAAAAAAAAAAAAAAAAAAAAAAAAAACATTACATCACAATCATACATTGCATCGCGTGGCATTACATTGCATGACAGCACATCACACTACGTTACAACTTACACACATATACACACGTACGTACATACATACATACATATCACTACACTGCATCACACTACATGTCTTTCAGTGCGCCACATACATGCATGCATACGGACATACCTTCATAGCAATATGCAAATACAATACAAAACAATACAGTATAAGTACACACATACATACATGCATACGTTACTTTTTTGATCACATTACAATACGTGCTATATATGCACACATAAATACATACATGCATAAACCTACATAGCATACCATAGCACAACATAGCACAACATAGCATAACATAGCATAGCATACATACGTACAGTAAATACATTGCATACATTACATTGCCTTACACTACATTACGTTACATACACGCAGACGCACACGTACATCCCAACACTGAGACATGGAAAATGTTAGCAAGCCGAAAGCCAACATATTTCTATTTTTTTGTTTTAGTAATTGCATTTATTTGTTTGATAGCACTTGCAACTCTATTAACTAATGCTATTACCATCACTACTATGCTTGAAAGCACTTGTAACTTATCATCATACACATTCACTCTTTTGTTTACTATGGTAGCACTGGTGATTTAAACATGTATTTGCTATGGTGAATAGCACTTGTAACTTGGAATAAACAGTCATCCCTGACTATGTTACTGAGTACTTGGCTTCAGTTGACTATGTTACTTGGTGCTCTTGAGTTTCTGTGTCTGAATTTGCTCTGGTTGGTAGCATTTGTAACGTGTAATGCATAGCCATCATTGACAATTTTCCTAGGGAACGCTATTTGCCGTGAGACCTGTGGAATCCCAAGGAACGGGGGAGGTGGCCGTGGCCTGGCCGTGGCTGTGGCTGTGGCCGGCTGGCTGTGGCCGCTGTGGCTGGGTGGCCGGCTGGACCGTGGCCGTGGCCATGGCCATGGCCGTGGCCGGCTGGCCGTGGCCGGCTGGCCGTGGCCGTGGCTGTGGCTGGCTGGACGTGGCCCGTGGCCGTGGCCAGTTGGCCGGGTGGCCGGCCGTGGCCGGCTGGCCGGAAGCACGAAAAGGCTATAGTGGTTGCGTGGCAAAGGCTCCCCACCAAACGGCTCCGTTGTTTTCAATATACGGGCACTACCTTTCGGTGCAATGTGACGGCTTACTTGCGGGACCCCCGGCCAGTGTTTCGCATCTGGTTCGACGCCCTAAGTTATTTGCCTCCGCAAGGATTGAAAGTTGGCTTAGGCTCTTTGTTGGAGATTGAAGACGCTCAAGTAGCCGCTCACGAAGAAAAAAAAAGGCGCCATGCTTGGGAGCCATAGTAAATCTGTGTTTCTTTGGTCAAGATTAATATCAGACACACTGAGCAGCAACGACTTGGCGTGGCAGACCAAGGCAATCTTTCAAGGTGGCAACATCGAAGGAAGTTGAGAGCGTGGTTCCCTTAAACTCGACTTGAAGTTTTTACGTTTGTGATATCTTCGCGCAGCGTTGAAACCGTGTTTAGGAGTAACACACGATACCCGTGATGGTGTGGAAAACATGTTTTTTTGAGGCGCAAGCACGCTGGGATAGCCTGAGCTCAGCCCAAAAAAACCTCTCCCCAAAAACACCCTCGAGCCCCACAAGTGTTGCCACCGTTCTCGCGTTCTATGAGGCGTTGGCTTCTCTGAAAGCAGCAAAGGAGGCAAAACAAGGTGACCGTTTGTCCGGCCGCCCCCACAAGAGTTGTGCAAAAAACATGCATGTTTGCGGTTTCAACATCACACGCGTGTCTTTTTCTTGTCGTTGCCTGCGTTGCATGGTTTCCAGTTGAACATGTTGCGTGCCCTTCGAGTTGTAAAGTCAAGCAGTTGGCCTCGTATGCCAAGACTGTTCTGCCAACAAATGGCCCGTCGTTTTGCCTCGCCATCCTCGCCATCCAGCATTAGAAGCTCCATTTGAATGACTTATGCGCTCACTTGCGGCAGGATGCTTGCGGCTATGCAATTCGCAGCGCCAATTCTGTTTTAGTTTCTATGCCTAAGGAGGCAACACCAGCAAGCTTTCCAGCCAGTGGTTCCAATGCAGTCAGCCAACACAAACGTGTTTTTCCAAGAAGACGAACTCATGCTCCTTGGGGGCAGTGCGGTTAAATCGTTTCCTCGGACGCCGGTCGCATGGCTGGGCGAGATGTTCAAAAACCTTACAAGTTTTTGCCTCGGCTGGAGGAGGCTGGGGCCATGTTGTCCACGCCACCCTTTTGTTCCGCCAGCGGCGCCCGGCGCAGGCGGCGGCCTTTCCCGGGTTTCGGCAAAATTTCCCCTCGGTGGCACATATTTGGCACACGGATGCTGAAGAACTGGAGCGGACGCTGCCCGGCAGCATCACTTGGGCAATTTCCAGGCAAGAGCGTTGGCTATGCCATTAGTGAACATGTACTCTATGCCGGACCGTTTTGTTAGAACATTTCTAACCCTAAATTGCCATCGCCCAGGAAGCTGTCAGGTCCTCGGCAGAAGCTGCTGCAACGCGCTGCTCAGCAAGCCCGGGAAGTAGATGAAGCAGATCTTGACGCAGGCAATGCCACTGAGATCACATGAGATCACACTTTGCTTGCCCAGGGCAATACTGGAGGAATTAAGCCAAAAGACATTTGATGAAGCCCATAGAAGCCAATGCTTGCCAATATGGTGTCGGTTTCTTGCACCAGCAGCTATCAGCGGTGCACGTAGCGTGTTACTGATGCGATGGTACCAAACAAGAACCTACAAACACTGGGTTCATCTCCACACAACATGTGGACTGTGCGCGTGCGCAGCCGTGGTGTGCATGCAAAGCGCGGCGGGCCGGAAACTTGGTTTTCTTGGTTGGGTTTTGCACGTTGTTGCAAATGCCAACAGTATGTTGTACGACCAGTTGTTTGACAGACCAACCTGTAGTGCAGCCCCCTGACTGCGTTGCAAACACCGCAAGGGGCTACGCCATCGCTGCCTTCCTCCGCACCTGCTCCCAACACAGAGGCGGCCGCGGCGGCCGCCGACAAGGCCCGGCACCCATCGCAAGTTCACTCGATACACAAATGGGCAGGAGCTGCTTGATTACCTGGACCTTTGGAAGCAAGAAGGGCGGGAAGCGCTGTGCCAAGAGTTCGAGGGCAGCTTGCGCGAGTCCTTCTCTTGGCCAGCAGCCGAGCGCAGGCTTGCTCCGGATCAGAGATTTCACAGCCTGGCGCCAACCTGGCAGGAAGATGGTGGAAGTACATCGGCAGAAATGGAAGGCCCTGGAGGAGACTTGTCTTGGCATGGGCCAAGTTGATCGAAGTGCGTTCAGATCAGGACGCCATCGGGCAAATGGCAGAAGCGGTGCGGCTAGCAAGTGCTGAAATGCCAGCGGTTCGGGAAAAGAAGGCAAGGCTGTTGCAAATCTCTGAGAAAAACTGAAGGCTATATGTCTTCATGAAATTCTCATTCCGGAGACGTTCATGATGTGCCTTTCGCAGTGGTTCCCAATAGCTTTCCCACTGGGAGAGTTCGCCGCCGTCGCTCGTGGCAGGCGCAGAGCGCTCTGGATCGCGTTCGCCTTGCTCGAGACGCCATGCTGAAAGTTCAGGCCGGCACCTTTAAAAGTGCTTGGCCATGGCGTGCCATCACTCTTTAGTTTCTGTACTTAGTTAGAGATCCTAACAATTGCTCGATTTTGCGAGCGTGTTGCCAGCGGCTGCCTAAGGTGAAAGCCCTTCGAGAGGTTCGGCGCCAGCTTTGGCCAAGCCCTGCGGGTGTCACGCCGGGCATCGCGACAGATGCAGAGGCGGGCTGACTCGTTGCACGTCCTCACCCCATATCATAAGTCATAAGTGACCTTTCACATGTTCCCTTTGTGCGTGTAGGAGCCTTAACTCTCACTAGCTCACCTGGCGGTAAAACCGGCTCAGCTAAGATGAAGGAAGGACGTTTACAAGACTAAGGGCCAACCTTCTTTGGCAAGGGCAATGCAACACCATTTTGTTAGTCATGGATGTGTTGCTAGTCTCTCGTGTTTGTGTATGGTCAATGTCTTCGGTCTCGTGCTTTGTTGATGTGTTGTTCTGCCTCTGTTCCTCCATGCGCATGCCTGTCCTGTGCTGTGCCCTCCTGTCTCGCAGGAGCTGGGGATTTACAATCAGCTAAGCGGCCAGGTGGCTGCGTGGCAGGAAGCTCCCAAAGCGCAGAAGGCTCAGCCAGACTCCGAGTCCGAAGATGCCTGTGCCTCAGCCGACCTCTCAGCCGACCCATAAATCGATTTCTCTATCTTTCCCTCCCCTTTCTCCCTAGGAGAGGCCACTTCCGGTTAAATCGCGGGCGGAGATGGAGACACAGACGCCGGTGGACATTGCCGCCGACGCCCTTCCGCTGTCCTTGTCTGTGAGGCCACAGCCCCAAGGCCTGTGATCTGCGCGTGCGCCTGGAAGCCGGGCTTAGTGCCAGGCCTGCCAGATCTGCCAGATCTGCCCCTGGTGCGGGAGGCTTTGGACGCCGATTTCTCCCCGTCGCTCGAGATACCTGAAGGAGTCACTGGCATAGCCACATTTGAGGGAATCACCGGCAACTTCGAGCGTTTGAAGAAAGCACCAGGGCCGCGTTTCGCGGGGTGAATCCAACCAAAGTATGGAAGATAGATGTGCAAATTCTTTGCCACAATCGATGCAAGCTCCCACGGTTGGGGTGTGTTCTTGGCAGGAGTGCTGGAAGACGGCCTTGGCGACATATACGCGGGCATGGCGCCTTGCCAAGCCGACTTTGGCCACGTTCCGCTTTTAAAGTGCAGCAGTAAGTCTCAGCTTGCCCAGGACGAGAAAGAGCGGGCGGCTTTGGCTGCCATTGTCAAAGAACAAGATGAGCTTGCGGAGACTTTCGGATGCAGACAGTGGGTATTGCAGCCACTTTTTTTGTGTGCAACGTCGGGGCTGTAGGTCAGCCATGTGTTGGTGTGGGGTTTGCTGGGTGGGTGCGCAGGCAGAAAGCTGAATCCGAAAGAGCATTGAAGCAGCAAGAGTTGAAGCTGAGAGAAGCAGACACGGCGTTTCAAGCCTGGGGCTCAATCTGCGCGGGCAGATCATGAATTGGTGTTTGTTCACTTCGGCAAGCCAGGACCAAGTGGGACGCCTGAAAGCTGAAGCATTCGAGACTGAATTGAAGATGAAGAAAAAAGCCGATGATGAACTCCGCCAAAAAGACAAAGAGCATCAGGCGTTCTTGCAGCAACTGTTTCAGTTGCAGTGCGACTTCGTGCCAGGCGGCGCTCCTGGCCGAAAGGGAGCGCTTTGCAAAGGAGCGTTACAAGCTGCGAAGCAAGCTCATGGGCGAGCAGTTGGTCATCGAGACGAGAAAGCTGAAGGATGAGCTCATACGCTTGAAGCGCTTGAGGTGGATTTCACTGGCCGCCTTTGGCCCATGTGTTCAGTGCTCAGGCCAATGCGGAAGGAAGCGTTGAAGGTGCTGTGGTGGACTGAGGCCTGTTGCCAAGCGCAGAAGTTTCCTTTGAGCATTGGAAGGTTTGGCCTTGTCCATTTTCCGATGGAAACATCGAGGGCCCGATCTCCGTGGCAGATGATTTTGGTGGTTAAGCCAAGTCCTTCGTTTTCTCCAAAGAGATCCAACGGCTTGCCCGGTTGATGCAACATCGCTCGCTTCTGCGGTCCTTTCCTGTGTCACCTTCTTTGTCAGGAGGATGTGAACCGCGTGGCTGGAGGCAAGCAGTTGCTCATCCGCAGGGCGAGCGGTGCTTCATCCAAGTCGGAGACTGGGCTGGAGTTGGGCAGTGCCAGCGCAGTTCTCTGGTTCTCTTGTACTTGGTCCTTTCCTGGGCTGAGATTACAAGCTGGCTGCGTGAGCTCAATGCAAGTTTTGGGTTGCTCCTGCCCTGCTTTTGAACAACCCTATGCCAAAGCCAACTTTGCATGAATGACAGGCCGACGCCAAATGAACCCCGCCAGAATTCTGCAGTGTTTTTCAGATGTCCGTTTTCTACGTCACCCCGACAATCAGCTGAGGAAAACATGTGTGCCTTTGCTATTGGCACTGCCCGCGATTGGCTCTTCCGCTCTCGCGAGCTCATCGAAGCAAGATCCTTCGCCCCCAGCGGCAAAACCATTGATGGCGCAGCAGCCATGGCAGGCGAGCGGGAGACCAAGCTGACGCTTGGCGAGGTAAAACCCGGTTTGTCTCGGGCGGTGCGCGTTTTGGGTGTGATTTTTGGTTCTGGCTGCCTGGCTAATACTACAATCGTTATCAATTCAGCATTGTGCGCATAAGGAAAGCTCAGTTCTCCGCAGCTGTGGACAGTGTCGGCAAGTTCAAAGCCCGCATGAAGCTTCTTTCTGAACGGATGCTGCCTGACGAAAGCAGCCGCAGCAAAGTCGAAAGGAGGCCGGGATCCAGCTGAGCCAGCGGTTGCTGGGATGATTTTCGCATAGGTTGGAACCGCAGCCTGAGAGCGTTGCTGCGGGCCTGACGGTCGAGCGAGAGCTTGCCAAGGCCTGTAAAGTGAATCTGGGGGAAGATCCCAGGTTCCTATTCCTTTGCTTCCTTTGCGCAAAGCTGATTCCCAGTGTGAGACTGAGTATGGCAATCCGCGCAGGGTGTGCGAGATGCAGTCGCCGAGCGTCTCCGAGATGCAGAGGCGTCATAGTTTCAGAACGATGCCGGCTCATGGCATCGCACCCACGTTTTGGAGAGCAACGCCATGGCCGTGTTTTGCCAGAAATAGCATGGTGTCGTTTGGAGGCCAAGCTCGACAAGCTTGCTGAAGAGGAGGGGTGTGTGTTGCGCTTCAGCGCCTCTTTGTCGATCCTCTAGCCCATGGCTGCAAAATATGCCTCGGACATATTTACACACACACATATATATATATATATATACAATATTTATGCGTATGTGTGTGTCTCTCTCTCTCTCTCTCTCTCTCTCTCTGTCTCTCTCTCTCTCTCTGTGTTTGCGTGTGTGTTCCAGGGCGTCCCTATGCTTTCCCTGTCGGGTGGTTCCCCTTTGGCAAGGACTTGGCAGTGGACTTTCTGACCCGCTGGTCAGAGCAGATCAGCGCGGTGGGCCTCAAGGGAATGCAGACGCAGCGGCAATCCAAGGAGAGCCACAGGTCTTCTTAATTGACATATGTGGGTGGATGGTGTGCATGTACACGTAGAGTAGCATAATGTCTTAACAAGTGGTTGCGAATTTGATACCAAGAGGGTTTAGAACTAAATGTCAGCGGCTCAGAGGTATGAGCCCTGAGCCCTTGAGCCCTACCCAACAGGTTTGAAAGAAAGCATGAAAGCGGTCAAGATGCAAGCAGTTGGTCGGTTGGAGTGATCGGTGTCACCCGGAGACGGGATTGCCCTGGTGATCAGGACCTGGCGGAGCGCATTGAAGATGCGTTGCGCAAGGAGGCAGATGCAAAAACCTGCTCCCCAAGAGAGCTGACTGCGTGCAACACTGGCAGGCATCCAAGTATCGCAAGACCGCTCAAGCCGCGTATGCGGAAATTGCCGTGCCTAGCCTAGTAAACTGCTTAATTTCTCAATTACTTGGTTGCTTGTCACAGCCGCATTTTGCAGGACAACTGCACGTGGCCCTCAGGCGGACCGCGCGGCAGAGGAGGCCACGAAGAAGGCAGAGGAAGCTCACAAGCGCGAGGCAGTCCGAGAGGCCGCACACACAAAAGCAGAAAAGACAGTCAGGGGGAATTCGTGTGTCGGATGCCCGGCGGGTGTGTCCTTTCGGTTGCCTGCAAGTTTGGAGGCTGCGCGCAAGAAGGGCCTTGAAGAAGCAGTGCGTAGGGAGCAGGACGGACCAGAGTGGAGGCTCAGTGGCATTCGCAGACACTAGCCAAGATGGCTTGAGGACAAAGTCACGCAGGAGAAGGAGAAGATGGTGCCCGTGAAGCTGAAGGTGTCAGGTCTGAGGCGCCGGCGAGACATGTGTTGGTCATAAGGAAGAGGTGCCCTGTTTACCTTGGCAGGTCATCTGCCATCGACGACAAGGCAAGGAAGCTGATTGTAGTGGCTAAATGCGACCTGAGACGTGGCCGGTTTTGGAACAGGCCAAGTTTGGCCAACTTGCCGAGCAGAAAGTCGCGAAGGCTCTCGCCTTGAGCAATGCGCAGGCTGCTTGGCTGAATCAAATGAGCGCTGAGCTTGCATCTGAATTGTGGCACACTGCTGCGGGCTAGTGCCAGCCTGACTGTGGGTTCAGACGCTAAACGCCCCGGTGAATTGCTGCACAAGGGAAGCAGCATGGTGGTGACTTCTTTGCTCCAGTTGAATGTGCAGAGTGGATACTGGCGCGTTCTCCTCCCGTCGTATGCCCATCCTATGCAGACTAGACGTGACCTGTCGCTAGAACAGTTCTTTGAACTGAGGTTCGGGTGACTGGCATCCGGTGAGCGATGCAACTGGCGCTTGGCCAGGGCGCACCTGCCACGTGCAGGCCGCTTGTTAATGAGAAACCGGCCTGACGCGGCCTGGCCCAAAGAACCTCCAGTCAAAGGCTGCGCTGCGAACTTCTGATGGACACCGGTGCTGTGTTTTTCCCTGGTTGGTTGGTGGCAAACCAAACGGGAACCCTGTTATGTTGGTGTACAGCTGGAGACAAACCCACATGGAATCTCAGCATCTGAGTTCCGCGCTGATTTGCTTGCGAAAGGCTCTATGGGGCTGACTTGCCGCTTCTGGCTTCAGCACTTCCCAGCATGCTGGGCAGTATTCTGCATTCGTTGCGCGTTAACCCGCGCACCCAGCTGAAAAACTGTGTATCTGCGTGCGTTTATGAAAAGCTATGCGTACCTGCATGCATATCTTTATCTATATCAGCTTATTATACTTGAATTACATGTATATGAAAGCAGCAGTAGCAACTTGTTTTGTTCCGCATGCAAGTAAGCACATACGTATGTGCAAACTATATAAGTGTTTGTGCACCCATCATGTTCAAAGCTTTCTTTTGCCAAGACGAGACTGCAGACTTCCTGTTCCGCTTTGGAATGGAGCCTGTGGCAGTCCACGTGCTTCTGCCCTCTGGGGAGACGGTGGCTCAGCTCATGGTCAACCCGGAGAAGCCCATGCTTCAGATGAAGACCCAGATCGCCGGCATGGAAGGCAAAGGAAGCAAAGAAGCGAAATGGGCGTGGGGATATGATGCTCCTTGTTCGTTTCCCCAACACAGAAGCTGGAACCCTCAAAACAAACACCAAATGGACTATTTGCATGTATTCTTTGTGCCGTCATTTGTGTGTGTGGACTTTCTCAGGCTATTGGGGCCCGTGGCTGGTCTGTTTCGCTGTGGCGGCTGGTTGGATGGATGAAATGGGAGTGGATGGGTGCGTGGGGTTCTTGGTGGAAAGCACACAAGCAAGCAAGCGGGGAGCCTTGAAGCTTAGATGTTCGAAGGTCTTCCCGGGTTTCTCCAACTGAGAGGTTTGCGAGTGGCCAAATTGAGCTCAGGCACGCCAGTCGCGAACCAGGTCCTGCTTTTTGATGGGAAGCTGGTAGACGACGTCGACACGCTCCGCAGCTTGAACATCAGCAAGGTAGCCGAGTTCCTGCTCCTGCAGCGAGCGCCCTTGCTCTCTGGTGCCATAAATCGTGAAGAGCTGGAGCACCTTTTGAAGGAGAGGGTCGAGAGATACCGACCAAATCTGATGTGATGTCTTGCAGGACAGCCTTGCGCTGGAGCAAGCCATCGTCGCTTATAGCGACACCTTGCAATACTTGCCTTCTGAGATTGCGGCGATTTGCAAGCAAGTCGTGGAAGGTCTGGCCGCCAGTGGATCGGCGCCTGAGCGGGGAGCCGTTGATGCTGCGGAGTGGCAGGACATTGCGGCCCAGAGCGGCAAAGCTCGCCACGTCGCCTTCTCCCGCGCCCTGCGGACGGAGCTGGAGAGAATCCACAGCAGCTTGCCGGCTGAGAAGTCGGCTCCGAGCCCCGCTGCCCCCGCTGCCCCCGCTGCAGCCGCTGCAGCCGCTGCCGCTGCCCCTGCGGGCACTGCGGCGTCAGATTCCGTGCCCGGGCCACGAAGCGCGAGCTGCTACACACAGCCACTGAGGGTCGAGCCACCAGAGCCAGAGCGCGTGTCCCTGCGGCATGTAGATGCACAACGAGAGGATGAGGAGCGCAGATCAACGCCCTGGGTAGGTGTTGCTTGTTCAGCACGAGTTGGGACTTCGTGAGAGTTGGGTAAAGCTGAAACGCCTAAGGCTGGAGAGGAGTTGCCTCTTGGCAGGCATTGGGACCAACTAGAAGCCTGGGCGCTGAAGACCAGATAGACCAGCTTTTCGCATCTGAGGCAGAGATTCCTTCACCGGCAATGGTCAGTGTGCGAAGGTGCAACTCAGCAGTCGAAAAGTGCGTGCATTTGGGGGCAGATTGCCACTCTTTGCGAATTGGGTGTTGGGGTGTGTCGGGTTTGGAAGATTGCGCTTCAGCTTTTGGCTCAAGGGGGCCAAAAGGACTGTATCACAGGGTCTGCGCGCCATTCGCGCAGAGCCATTTTGTTCACCCAAGCCTGACCATGCGGCTCGGCTTGCGCAGGCGGCCTTTTTTTGTTTTGTTTTGTTATTCTTTTGGGCGGCTGTAAACACCTTTGCATGTCAGTGAGGTCCCTGTGGCTTAAAGGCCGGGTTTCCAGCGCATGGGCCCTGCCGCAGCTTAGGTCTGGCGAATCTTTTGGGCCTTCCCCTCGCTTCCAAGACATACTCAGCGAACTTGTGGCAGCTCATGTCGAGGAGGCAGCAACTGACATGCACCATGTCCACTATGTCAAGCTGGAAAGCAGCATGCAACCGCTGAATGCCGCACGCACATAGAATTGCAGTTGGCAGGTCGCGAAGCTTCGAGAGCAAATTGAGAAGATGCAGCACGAGGACAAAAGCCTGGCCCCCCTGCCTCCACCAGCCCAGTGACCCGTCTGAGAGCAATGGCTTCGGGTTCAGGACTTTACCCAGGGCAATGTGCATGTGCAGCCCAGGTTGTCGCCGCCATTGCCACCGGTGGAGGCGCATCATGAAACTCCAAGACTTCGGTGCGGTTTCACCTTCGGTGTTTAGGGTGCTCGGGCGCATCCGGGCGCGCGGTTCGTTCAGTCAGACTTTTGAAAGCGACTGAGGCGCTTCCAAAGGCCCAGGAGGCTCGGATGACGATCTCCAAAGGCCTTTCTTCGCTGGACCTGGTGGATTCGGAAGAGCCCAGTGAGGACAGCGAAGCTGACATGCACTGGCTGCGCGCCTTTTTCCTTGGCAGAGACTTGGCAAATCAAAGTGAACAGAACGAGTGTGACAAACAAGCCGACAAGGTGCCTGCTCGGATCAATGTTCCGAGGCCACTTTGAAATGTGTGTGGCCATGCTTCTCTTCATTAACATTTGCCTCATGGCAGCGCAACTGCAATACCTTGGCTTGACCATCGGACATAATATCGGATACGCCAACTACAACTATGCAGCAGAGGAGGCCGGCGTGTCCAAGAGTCCTTGGTCGATTCAGACTGCACTTCTGAGGCCCAACTTACCCCGAATGAACATATTTCGCAACATGCAATATGGCTGGCTTATGGGTACGGTATCTCTATTGTAGGTAAGTTGGTCCGATTTTCTTCGAGCAAGCACAATGCACTTGCTTGCACGTTTTTTGAACTCAATCTATGCAAGGCCTGGCCAAATGCCGACATGGCTTTCTTTGTTGGAGACTTAAGCTTCGCGACTATCTTTTCGACTCCTCTCTGCAATTCTGTTGGTCGTGTGTCACCAAGCAGTTTCACCAGTGGAACGAGTCACTGTGACTTGAGGATAGAAATCTTGATCCGGCAATACTACCTTGGACTTCGCTTCTTCAAGTTTGCTCTGAATTGGGTCGACTTTTTGGTTGTGTGCAGCTCGTGGGCAGAAATCTTTGCGGCTGCTTTGCCCATCAACCCCACCTTTCTGCGGATGCTGCGTTTGGGAAAGCAGCTTGGAGAGATTTCAAGAGTCTTTGAAGCCCGATTCTGAGAGCGATCTATCTAAAGCCTGTGAAGCATTTGCCGGAGCGCCTTTGGGACCGAACGTGGGGGGGGGTCTGAGCTTAGGCTTCTTCGAGCCATTCGGGTGGTGCGGATGTCCCAGGTCCTGGATTCCCTGCAGCTCTTGCTGCGCCTCGCATGGAAAGGTCAAAAAGGCAACTGAGGGAGAAGCGCCAGTGGCCTATACGCAGGGACCACAAGTTGAGTTAAAGAAGAGTGGACCATCTAGTCAAATGGACAGCCCATGAGGAAATGCATCGCTGCCAGCGTGCCATAGCTGCAATCCCCTGCAATTCAATTGGGCCAGAGCATGGGCAGAGCTTGAGGTCAAAATCCTGTTCTGGTCATTGCAACTTGGCTCATGTGAGCTGACTACTTGTGTTTGTATGGAATGCCTGGCAGGTTTTTGCTCATGATCATTCAGATCAGCGCAGGGATGAGCATCAGCTACATGGCCCCAGCCTTACGCGCAGTGAAGCCGGCCCCTGTTCTGGGGTCCTTATTGAAGTCAAGGTCAGCGAGTACCTGGTGGACGAGACCGCGCCAACTGAAGCAAGGTTTGCAGTTTTTCGCTACTATGGGACATTTACAAAGACCTTGCTGACTATGTTTGAGGCGGGCTTGTCCAAAAGGGCTGTGCAGACACTTGGCGTGCAAGCGCGTGCCTTCCGCGCATGCTTCAAACAGCAATGTTGGCAGAGGCCTGCTCTGGAAGTGTTAGGCATTTGTTGCTTTCTACCGAACGCCGACAGGTCCTTTTTGCAAATTGGGCTCCTCCATGCAGAGTTCTGATCGACAACGTGAGCGAGTGGTACTCCCTGGTCTTCATCATCTACCGCTGTTTTGTGGGGTTCGCCGTTTTAAACGAAGCTTGGCATGCTTGGCCGCATCCCGCGCGGCCGCATCTTTGCGGATGCGATTGAGGTAGTGAACGCCGTGTTCGTCCAAAGCACGATGAAGGCTCTTTGGATCGTGTTGAATCATCTTTAAACTCGTTTCTTCGCGTCTGCTCTTCTCGGAGGTGGCCCAAGCAGATGATGACTTCATTGCCAGAGAGAAGCGCAAAGCGGAGGAGTCGTACCACAGGAAGGTCACCTCTTTGTTCAGACAGGTGGATACTTCTGGGGATGGCAAGATCGATGTGCGCGAGTTCAAGCGGCTTCTGAGAGCGCCGAAACTCCAAGTTTGGCTAAGCCAACTTGATATCGAGACCACGGACCTGTGGGGATTGTTCAAGATGCTGGACCAAGGCCTGCTTGAGAGATGTGGGTGAGCGGGTGTGTCTTTGTTGAGGTCGAGGTTCCCTTTTGTGCGTTGGTCCCAAGGGAACATAAAGGAAACCACTTCTTTTGGTTCCCATATTTTGAACAAACGCATGTTAAAAGTTTCAGGTTCCAGGTAGGTTCAGAGCTCAGTGCTTCTCGCTAGGGGATGGTGAGATCTCACTTGAAGAGTTCGAGGCCGGCACCATGCGAATCAAAGGACTCGCGAGGAGCTTTGATTTGGCCCAGCTGCAATCCATGATCCAGCGGTTGTCGGCGAAAGTGGACTGCCTGCTAAGGCAGGGGCCGCAGCATGTGACAATGGCCAAAGAGTAGTTGCGCATGCCTTCCATGAGGGTTCCCCACGTTTGTCCTCATGCAACGCTATTTGGCCCATTTGCGTTACGGGCCAGCATGGTTGAAGGATCGTTTTGGGGGAAGCAGGTTAATTATGTTGTTTTTGTTCGGGTGGGTGCTTCGTCAAAGAGACCACTCACGCCGCTGTAAATTAATGACTAACGGCTTGCGGGGAGCAATACCTTGCACCACTAACTCTTCTCGAAGCTCGGCCAAACATGTGCTCGCAGGCGAGAAGATAACGTTCCTCATGTCGGCCAAAGCGCGCCGTCACCAACAAGTAGCATCTCCCCGGATTATTCCCAATCCTTTGTATTTAGCTAAGCCTGTGCCCCTTGAGCGCGGGCATTCCGAACCTTGCGGACAAAAAGGCCGCGAATTGAACGTTTCCAAAGGTTTGGCATGGCGCATTTGGCACAGTCATGGGCTTATCGTGGCTCGTGTTCTTTTCTTCCGCAGCCATGATGCCTCCACCCCCAGTGCCGCCAGCACCAGCGCCCGCGCCAGCGCCCGCGCCTGCGCCGCCAAATGTCCCGAAGCTGCAGCGGGCGGTGTCGGCCGTGCGGCCAGAGGCACAGGAGGAGATGCTCAAGGCACTGCTCCAGGAGGGCGAGGCTTTGCAGCAGAAGATCCACGAGATCACCGCTGCCAGGACCCACGGGCGCTCAGATGTAGAGGACAGGGTGAGGGACGAGCAGCAGCAGGCCAAAGAAGCTCTTATCGCCAAGCTGCAGCAAGAGCTCAGTGAGGAGCACGAGAAACAGGAGCAGAGCAATGCGACCAAGGAGACTGCAATTGGCCCACGCTTTGGCTCCTCGATTTCAGCTTTCCGGAAACATGTCCAATCTTTGATCCTGTCCAGGCATGATTCGCCTGCCTTTTTTGCAGACTGGTCATACTGAATCCTCTATCGCTTGTAAACGTGTTGGGGGCCCCTCAAAGATTCTTTCGCAAAACGCTAAACAAGTTGGTGAATCTGCTTTCCACTCCCTGAGTTTCGGTTTGTCTTATTTGCAAGGTTGACAAAATGGGCAGGTCACCTAGCTGGCAAGGGAGCACGGCCGAAAGTCCCAACACGAAAACGAGAATGGCGTATGAATGTGTTGCCTCATGTCTTCGGGTCAATTTCATGTCTTATGGGTATGGGTCAAAATTAAACCACCAGGGGACCATAGCTTTTAGTCCTTGTTTCCATTTTCCAGGCTGCCATTTTGGGTACCTATTTTGGACCCACAGCCTTATCATTTCGCCAGGAGCAGATCCACGGCTACGAGGCGCAGCGGGCGCAGCTGAAGCTCGAGCTCCAGCGCCTGGCCGCTAGCGGCGCGGCCGCCCTTAGCGGCTCCGGCGCGGTCCGGGAGGAGGTGCTGAGGGCGGAGGAGAGGTGCCGGCAGCTGCAGACCCAGCTGCAACGCCTCGAGGCCAACGCCTTCCTCTCCAAGGCGATGGACACGACGTGGAAGCAGTTTTGGCCAAATTTGGCGGTTTCCAGGAACCTCCTGCCCGGCTGTGGTTTGGGGAGCGAAACGTGGGGATTAAAGTGTTTGGACCCTGCCTTGTAAGTGGTGAATGCGCCTTTTTCGTGGGGCATTCCTAAAGAGGAAGTTTGGTTTGGTGTGGCTGTTGGGTGCGTTTGGTGGGCTCAAGGGGTTGTGGGAAGAATGGAATCGGTACGGGTCTATTTGGTGAAGCGAGTCTTGATTTGGCTCCATGCCAAAAGTTGCCGCTGGTTAGGTTGATCCCATCCTTCAAACGAAAGGGCATGAGGAAGGGCCTGTTGCATCTTCAATTTGGTTTGCTGAAAAGGCCACCCATGTCAATGTGATTCTCTCCTCCATTTACGATGGGGGCATTCATCGGCGACGACCAAGCCTCACCACAAAAAGCGGGGGACCCCTTTCATAATGTATGCCCCAGTGGGGGGGGGGGGAATGTATTTAATACATTTTCCACGTTTGCCGCCCCAAGAGTCTTAAGCGCTTTGCCAAGGCTGAGAACCTAAGAAAGCAATATACAGTCACAGCCTTTTGGAAGGTAGGCGCAATTGTAGGTAGACAGAAGCAAATGGTTGCAAATGGACCTGGAAAGGTCCGCGAGTTTGCGGCTCAGTGTTGGAATGCTTTCAAATTAGGTGTTGCGCGATTCTAGAGGCCCATGTGCCAGCAATCCGCATCACGCATTCCGGCAGCAGCCCGAGAACGGGCTTTGCCAAAAACATGTCCTAGAACTCGTACGGAGTGTTGAAGTGGGCATGTAGTACGGCATGTAGCTGAGCAAGCTCCATCTTGTGCTGCCAGGGCCTGATGGAGGCGATGGTGTCCGATTCCTTGATTGTGAGACTCTTCTGCTGCTCAACAGGCTGATTTTTGCGCGGACCACGTGGACAAAGCTCAGGGACATATCCGCCAACTTTGTCAAGGTTGCTTCAAGTGGCTGGCCCTGGCCTACTTCAACACCCACTACAATTGTCTCTCCAATTAGGCCCCCCCCCACCGGCGTTCAACAGCTCTAGCTCCTGCATCGCACACGTGTAAAAGCACGCGCCTCCGAGAGGGCCCAAGATTTGAAAGTGTGATGAGGGTCAAACTTCCAGCTCGCTTCGAAGTCAACACTGGGATTGCTTCGGGGGAAGCACTGCGCGCCTTGTTTGGAAGCTTGTCAGTCTTGCTGACGCCACCGTCTTCTGGGGCATCGTGTCGCTCACCTCGGTCTCTTCTTTGAGAAGTAAGTGCCAAGAAGTCAGCTGTACAGATGCGGACCCTATCTACTTGCTAAGTGGTTTACGACCGCCGCTCGTATAGGGCTTGCTGCATTTTGCTTTGAGTAGGGCCGCCCTGAAGACAAAGTACGTGTTTTCACTGCTTTCAAGTGACGCTGAAGCAACGCACTGCCGGATATGAGCCCTAGGAAGCATTCGTTCGAAAGAGTAGTGGTGTTTAGTTTCCTAGCTCAAGCAAGCGCATCGTCGCAGCGCCATGCTGAAGGGCACGAGCTTTGCGCCGTAAGCGAGGCGCAACAGAACTCAGCTGGGCCCCTGCGATCACTTCCTGCTCCGGCCAAGGTTCAAGTCGATCCACACCACCCCGTGGCGATCGTCGGTTCTGAGATACATGGAGCCCTCACTAAGCATGCAAAATCCTAGCAAACAAGCTGGTTTACCCAGAGCAATCGGAGCAATGCGTTGCTATCCACTACGTCAGACCGATAGCCGCAGGCTTTCGAAAATTCCAGCAGGGGAGTGCTGACGAGAAAGCCTGTGTGGGAGAGAGCTAGCTGATTGAGCAGCCCCAGCGTTTCCCACATCATTGCAAGCGGGGCCGAGCTGCGATTTAGGTACATTCGTTGCAAAGAAGGCCGCCGGCATCGCGAGGAACTAGCTGAAATGGAAGGGCGACGAGTGTCGGATTCGTTGCTGTCCGGATCACAGAGGTGTGAGAAGTCGGGATCACAGAGGTGTGAGAACATCGAACCGGGGCAGGGGTGCCTCTAAATATTTTGAGCAGAGCAAACAGATAGCAAGCAGCGCGCCTTAGCGTATGCACTCATTGTGCTCCAGGGATTCGCGAGGCTGTTGATGCCAGTGTGTGGATCGAGTCCGCGCGACAAATTTGCTAATTCGTCAGAGCGAAAATCAGCTAGACTTCATTGCTGGTAATGCGAATTAGCTAATTCGACAGAGCGAATATCATCTAGACTTCATGCTGGTGATGCTGGCGATGCCGGTGATGCACTCCGTAGATCAAGGCGACGGGTGTCCGTGCGACGAATTTGCTAATTTAATTCGTCAGAGCGAAAATCAGCTAGACTTCATTGCTGGTAATGCGAATTAGCTTTACTTCGCCAGAGCGAATGTCAGCGTCTCAGCTAGACTTTATTGCTGGTAATGCTGGTGATGCTGGCGATGCCGGTGATGCACTCCGTAGATCGAGGCGACGGGTGTCCGTGCGACGAATTTGCTAATTCGTCAGAGCGAAAATCAGCTAGACGTCATTGCTGGTAATGCTGGCGATGCCGGTGACGCACTCCGAAGATGAAGGCGACACGGCGACAGGTGTCCGTGCGACGAATTAGCTAATTCGTCAGAGCGAGAATCAGCTAGGCGTCATTGCTGGTGAAGCTGGCGAGGCCAGTGATGCCGTCTGTAGATCGAAATGACGGGCATCCGTGCGACGAATCAAGTAATTCGACAGAGCAAATACGCTGCTTGGTGTAGGTATCAGATGCTGCCACTGCGCCGCTCCCACGAGTCCTGGAATGCCTTGGCTAGTTCCCAGCCCCAAGCGTTTTCAGGGGTCACTTGTTCTTACGCCCGGCGGGCATAAGAACAAGTGGGGGCCAACCGGAACAAGCGACCTGGTCACTTGTTCGCTAAAGTGCCTACTTGTTCTTAAGCCCGCCGGGCGTAAGAACAAGTGACCCCTGACGCAACAATGGCTTTAGCCGCGAAAAAAAGGCAGCCACTGACAAAACACAAATTAGAAACTCTATTGCAGAACGCCCAAATCACAAAAAATGCAGCCCGACCAAGCACGCCAGTGACAGGCCCAGGAAAAACTGTACAACAAATTGGCACCCACACACAACAACCAAATTAGAAGCCCTAGTTGAAAAAGCCCACTTCACGAGAATCATCAGCCAGACCAGTAGCCAGTGCCAGGCCTTGAAAAAATCCAGCTGCACAAAATGCACGGCGAACAAAATAGAATCTTTACATAAAAACCAACTTCACGAAAATCATCAGCCCGACAAGTAGTCCTTTGTAGCCACCTGTGTAGGTTTACATTTCAGCGCCCGGTCGCAAAGGAAACTGTGCGTGCTGTCGCGCCCCGACCCTGCCAGCAGTCGGGCCCCGACCCCGCCAACAGTCGGGCCCCGACCCCGCCAGCAGTCGGGCCCCGACCCCGCCAGCCGACCTTTTCCTGAAGCAGGATGTTTTGAGTAGCACTTCTAATTTGCATGTTGTCTGTGTTACCGCCTTTCTTTGTCCAGCTGGATATTTGTCAGGGCCTGTCACTGGCCTACTTGTTGGGCTGATGATTTTCGTGAAGTTGGTTTTTTCTCCAACAGCTGAAAGCTTTGGGGTCTCAGCCCAGATAGGCTCCGGGGTGGTCCCGGACGGCCCTGAGGTGAGGTCCAATGACGTTCCGTCAGGGTTCCACGAGGTTTTGTGAGGGGTGCGGGGTGGTGCGCGCACTAAAAAGAGCACCGCATGCTGTTGGGGATGTCACCTGAGCTTATTTTTTCAGGTAGAGCGACTGTTTTGAATTTGTTCACCGTTTATTTTTGGCAGCTGGATTGTTTTCAGGGCCTGGCACTGGCCTACTTGTCTGGCTGATGATTCTCGTGAAGTGGGAGTTTTTAGCAGAGCTTCTAATTAGTTTTTTGTGTGGGGTTGCCGCCCTTTTTTTTGCGTAGCTGGATTTTTGTCAGGGCCTGTCACTGGCCATCAAAAAACAAGACACGTTTCAATCATGTTCCTTAGTCTCCTGCTCCCGTGCTCTTCTGGTCTCTTGTTTTTTTGCAAGTGGGATGTCTTCGCCGGGCTTCTGGTTTGTTGTGTGGCTGCCGCCCTTTTTTGCGCGGCTTGATTTTTTACAGGGCTGTCACTGGGCTGCTTGGTCGGGCTGCTGCTTTTCGTCAAGGTAGAGCTTCTAATTCGCTTGTGTGTGGCTGCCTTTCTTTTGTGCAGATTGATGTTGTTCAGGGCCTGTGGTCGGGCCCCAACTCCGTCGGCGGTCGGGCCCCGACCCCGCCGGCGGTCGGGCCCCGACCGCGTCGCCGGTCGGGCCCCGACCCCGTCGCCGGTCGGGCCATGACCCCCTCGGCGGTCGCCCCTTCAATGGTTCTAATTTGCTTTGTAGCTGCCGCCGTGTTTTTGCAGCTAGCTTTTGTTTGGGGCCTGTCACTGGCCCGGGCTGATGCTTTTCGTGAAATGTGATGCTTTTAGTAGGGCTTCCAATTTGCTTGTTGTGTGTGGCTGCCTTTTTTGCGAAGTTGTTTTTCAGGGCCTGCTAGTTGTTTGCTTGGTCGGGGCTGCTGCTCTTCGTCAAGTGGGTGGGGCTTCTGGATTTTTTGTGCGCGGCTTGTTTTCAGGTCCTGTCACTGGTCTGCTTGTTCGGGCAGCTGTTTTTTTTGTCAACTGTTTGTTGGCAAGTAGAGCCTCTAATTTGTTTGTTGTGTTTCGCTGCGCTTTGTGTTTTTGCAGTTTGTTTTTTGTTTCGGGCTTTTCACTAACCCACTTGATTGTTTCTTGATTGTTTATTTTTTTTGCGCGGTTATATTTGGCCGTTTACTAGTCTGCTTGGTCGGGCTGCTGCTTTCTTAATGATTTTTGCGTAGGGTGTCTAATTTGCTTGTTGTGTGTGGCTGCCGTTTTGTTGCGCTAGCTGTGTTTTTTTCAGGCCCTAGCGTGGCCGGCTGGGTCGGCCTGCTGCTTTGGTAGGGCTTGTAATTTTTCTTTTTGTGTGTGGCCCCCGTTTTTTTGCGAAGCTTGTTTCTTTCAGGGCCTACTTGTCGGGCTGATCACTTGCGTGAAGTGGGGCGTCTTTCAGGAGGGCTCCTAATTTGCTTGTTGTGTGTGGGCGCCGTTTCTTTTGCGCAGCTGGAGTTTTTCAGGGTCTGCCATGGGCCTGCTTGGCTTTGGTCTCTTGCTGATGTTTGGGGCAAAACCCAGCAAAAGCGGATTTTTATGTATATTGGGGGGGGGGTGCGGTAGGATTGTGGTCGCAGCTTAAATGTATATGTGGGGGTCCCCCCTCCCCCCTACATAGGGGTCCCTCGAAAAAGCCTGCAGGTGGATGATCGGCGCGAGGCCAACATGAGGCAGGATTCGACAGTGGGCCTTGGGTGCAGGTGATGCCGATTCCTGGATTGGGCTAAGTGAGCGCTGTATTAATGAAGACTTGCATGGGAACGTGGCCTTGCGCTGTTGTTGCACACCGATGCTACGCAGTCATTCCGCAGTGCGTGGCTTTCTTGGCCAGTAATTAGCATCCACGAGCAACCATTCCGGCCAAGCGCTTATGGTTGTCACAAAGGTTGGCTTTGAAGCTCTTTGGCAGTTTGTGCGTCCTTTCGCCGGTGCCTCATTGTTGCTCACCTTACTCAGAAGCGCAAGAATTGTAGATTTGTCGGGGCCGAAGCGGCCAAGACAACAGGGACTTCCTTGCCGCGGTTCTGCGCAAGTCGCATTGGCAGGATTGCAGCGCTGGAGGAGCAGGTGAGGTTGCGGGTGGCAGAGCACCAGGGGCAGGTGGACGAGCACTTGAACGCCCAGCAGGCGCGCTGCGGATGCCTTTTTTCGCCCGCGGCCAATGAAGGGCGGAGTTTTGCTGGCTTCCTGCGTTTTTTTTGTGCGATTTTGCTTGGACCAAGCGTCAATGAGTGTTGGGGCGCCAACGAAATGAGGGTGAAGAGCTGCAAGTGGGTTGTCAATTTAGAGTTGGCAAATCGGACAACCTTGAGCTCAAAGGATGGGCCACGCCTTTGCCACCGTTCGATCAAATGGGAGGGGCCTGGGGGTCGCCTCACAAACGAGGCTCCCCGGACCATTGGTCCAATTTTCCCGGGCGGGGCCATTTGCCGAATGCTTCCCGCATTCTTCCTCCATGGCCCTCAAAGTCCAATACTCCTGGTCTAGTGGTTTTCCATGGACCATTGGTCGAGTTGGGGCAAAGCCCGTTTTGGATGGCAAGCAAGCCAAAGGTAAGCCACTTTTTTTGGGGGGGGTTGGGGGAGAGACGACAAAAAAAAAAGCAACGCATGTTGAACGACAGGCGAGATTGGTGAAGGTCCAGGAGAAGCAGCGGCTGCAGAGCCGGTGCCTGGACTTGAAGCAACGGAGCCTTGGCTTTTCAAGCGCTGGGTGAGGTTTGTTGAGAGCCAGCAAGGAATGAGGGAATGGCCCCCATAAACAGTCCCCTATGTTTGTCTTTAAGGGAATCCCTAGGTGGGTCATTCCGTGCTTAGCACCTGTAAGTTGTTGGAAAGGCCCGTTACAGCTTTCGAAGAGGGTTGATGGAATTGGTCCCCCAGAGCTCGGGAACGAAGTACCCCTCGATCCGGGTAGCACCCCCCTTCCCCAGAGAAAAGAAACAGAAGCCTGAACACAATTCACATCCTGATACATTTGCCTCCCGGGAGAGGAACAAAAAAGCACACGCAGACGACAAATCCATGAAGAATCTTTAAAAAGTCTCACCGCACCCTCCAGCATCAGACACTTCGAAGAAGCGACGGTCAGGAACGAGCAGCTGCAGATTGAGATCGAGGCCCAGCAGTCGGAGATGCAGAAGGTGGACCGGGAGATGCGGCTCATGCGGGAGCGCCTGCCCCCGGAGAACCAGGAGAAAGACCACGTCTAGAATCTCTCGCAACGGCCGAAATATATGTTTGGCCTCCATGTCTAGATGGCCATAGGCAATCTATCTTGGAGTGTGGAGAATTCTAGTTTGAGCTGATTTGAGCGGTTTTGGGGCGGCCGGTCCTCCACTCGCAGGAGGCCTTGGAAGTGGCGCTGAGCCACGTGGCCGCGGATCAGTTCCCGGCCTTCGCGCGGGTGGCGGTGCCGGGCGGCGGCTCCGCGGGTGCTGTGCCCAGCGGGGACGACCTGAGCAGCGGAGACGCCATGGGCCGCGTGTTGGAGCGGCTGGGCGCGGAGAGGGACGAGCTGGCGCGACAGATCCAGGAGATGAGTGAAAAATTAGGGGAAATGAAGAAAATGGAGGAAATGGACCCCAAGAAATCAGGGGGTGGAACATAAGAAGAACACAAGTACACATAAGTTCAACCAAGCGAAAGGGTGGCGTTTGTGTCCTAGACATGAACGAGAAACGTGAACTATGGTGAGAATGTGTCAAGGGGTCCTCTTGAAACAGAATATTGCAGAACAGTTATTGCAGATGTTGAAGGATTCAGGCCAGAACATGGATGGGTTCAACATTGTTTTGGGGCTTCCGCTTCATTGTGACGAGCGGGATGCTGCTCAGAAGGGGTACGGTTCACATTGCAGCCTTTGTTTGTCCAGTGAATTTGCTTTCGTGTGCATGTTGCTGTATATTTGGGTTTGGGTATTGTTTGGTAGTGTTGTAAATCAGGTAGCCCGTAGTTGGTGGTTTGGATTGGTGCTTTGGAGATTTGCACCCCGGCCTTTGTAGAGGGTAAATGGGCTCACCAAACCACCAAACCGCCAAACCGCCAAACCACCAAACCACCAGTTTGAGGGAAGCTGAGCAAAAGTGACTCGGATTCCTTGGATTCCTCGCGTTCCCCGGCAGGTTCTGCGCAGCGAGCTGCAGAGGGAGACGGAGGCCTCCAAGAACTTCAAGCTGTGGCAGGCCAGGGACCTCCAGGAGGCGCGCGACAAGGCGCCTTCCGTGGGTTCCGAAAACGCGGCTTCGGCCATCTCCAGCTCGTTTCTGCTTTACGTCTTTACGCCTTGCGCCAAGTCTCAAGCCAAATCATAAGGGGATCAAAGATTGCTCTTGGCATGTCACGTTCCGGGCTAGCCAACTGCAGTGCTGCAATGTCCGGCTAGAAAATAAAACGATCGTCTATGAGGCCCAGAGCTTCTTGAAGGATCGGGAGAAGTGGGCGAGGATCGCAGCGGCGCATCTGCAGTCCATCCAAGACCTGCAGCGCCGCATCGCTGGCTTCGATGGCACTCTGGGCCAGGATGACGTCATGAGCCTGGCGGGATTTTCGGATGTTTCCGACCTGGAGGATTGCGCAAATGCCTTGGATGTGTTCATCGGGGTGGGCGAGGTGGACCTTTCAGCTGCTCAGCGTCTGCATGAGGATTTGAACCGCGGGGAGCCACCGAGTGCGCCGCCGGAGCCGCCGACCGGCAGCGCGCCCGGCGCACCCAGTCCACCCGCACCCCCCGCACCGGTGCCACCTGTGCCACCGGCGCCATCTGTGCCACCTGCACCCGGTGCTCCGCAAATCGCACCCCTGCCAGAGGAGTTGCGCACATTGGTTTGCATTGAATTCGTGGGGTTCGACATGGGCTTCTCGGCAGTTGCTTCAGGGCTTCAACCTATCTACGACTCTTTGGTTACCTTTGGACCCTTCAACGTCAACGATGACATCTTGGAGCAGCTGGCGGAGGGCATGTTGCGCGTCGAGGTGCACGGGTCACTGCCAGGCAGTGAAGGGCAGCGCATTCTCGGCCGGGGCCAGCTGCCCATGTCTGGCCTGCTGCAGTACGGGACCCAAGACACTCGGAATCCTGTGGCCGGCGGGGTCGTGGCCATCAAGGATCCCAAGGATCAGGACATTCTCATCGCCAAGCTGCGGCTGAAGTTGCGCCTGCGCTACTCCATCGAAGAGTTGGCCGAGGATTTTAAGATGCGAGCCAAGGTGAGGCAGATGGACAGGGGCAGAAAATGCGATCGGCCATGCTACCCATCACTCACTTGCCACTCACTTCACTCATGATAGCGAGCATGAACCTAGATGTCATGCACTGCTGCTGGCTCAAATCCAGATCTTTGCACGGACTAATGGGGGTATGGATTGCCCACGCGGTGCACTGGGATTACCTCAGGTACCGCCCGGGACGGCAGGATGGGGCCATGCGCACATCTTGGAAGACGACCCGAAAGTTGAGAAGGTGCTTGAGTCTCGTTGGCGGAAGCTTGGAGTTTTTGTTCCCTGTTCCGTTTTGTCCCCGATCGCTTCCCATAGGTGGGCCAATTCCTGCACGAGCGCAGGAGCAAGTAGCTGGAGAAACTGATGGCCTGGGACGCCGAGACCGCCGGGCTCCTCTTGCAGATCCGCAACCTGGGAAGACGCAAGGACTGGCAACGCATCCTTCAAGTGCTCGGCGCGCTGGGCAAGCGCCTCCAGAGCATCCATGTCAGCGTTGCCATGACAGAGTTGGAGAAGTGTGGGGCATGGCAACTCGCACTCAGCCTGCTTGGCCACACTCAAACTGATCAGATCACCTTCAACACCGCCATCAGCATATGCATGAGGCTGGCAATGTGGCAGCAAGCACTGACCACTCTGGCTCTTATGGGCAGTCGCCATGTTCAATCCGACGTTGTCAGTTGCAGCGCCGCAATCAAAGCCTGCGAGAGCGCCTCCCAGTGGCGAGCTGTGCTGGATATCCTCGCGGACATGCCAGCCAGGACAATCGCGCCGAACGTGGTGACCTACAGTACTGCCATCAGTGCGTGCGGCAAGGCGGGGTGCATCACTCAGGGGGAGACTCAGCTCTCGGTTGTAAACTCACTACCTGAACTGTCACGTACGACCCCAGCAAAGCTAGTCTCACCCGTGTGAGCAGACCGAGGCCCCAAAGCTGTACATGTATGCAGCTTTTGGGCAGGACTTCATCCAAACCCAGTAGGGTGATTGTCTCTTATTTGGCGTCTTTGAAACACATGTTGTGGTGCTTGAGGCAGCTTTGTGGACAAGGGCTTTGGCCTTGCTGAGCGAGATGCACAGAACAAGGCCGAACCTGATTTCCTGGAATTCGGCCGTAAGTTCATGCGCAAACGCTATGGAGTGGAGGAGGGCGCTCGAATTGCTGATGGCCTCAAGTGCGAGCATCCAGCCAGACACCATCACGTACAATGCTTGCGCAGCGGCCTGTCAAAAGGCGGGTCTTTCAAATTCCGCTGAACGGAACACAGAAATACTTGGTTTCCCTTTGGTTCCCCTTTCAACACCAACCAAAAGCGGTACTGTCAGACTGTCAACAAACGCCACACCCATTTCTTTTCAGAGAAGAGTCGAGGGTCGAGCTGCCTTGGCCCAGGCAGTTTGTTGGAAGCTAGCCACCGGCCTTGTGGGCGAGATGCGCCGAGCAGCGGCGGTCCCCAGCACCGTGACCTACAACTCGTGCATCGCGTGCAGCAGTTGGGCACGGCAGGTGGCGCTGCGCGATGCCATCGGCCACGCAGGGCTGCAGATCTCTGGTGCCACGCTGGTGGCCATGAGCTTCCGCTCCTGGCGCAGCGGGCTGAAGGCCCTGAGTGCGCGGCAGCTTGACGCTCAGTGCGCCGGTGCCGCCGCCCGCACCCTGGCAGTGTCCGGGGCATGGGTGCGGGCGTTGCTGGCGGGCATTGAGAACCAGTTCATGCGCAACGGCGCCATCGCTTCCTGCCAGAGGAGCAACCAGTGGGCCACAGCTCTGTGCCTCTTATACCAGCGCTCCTTTGTGGCAGACGTCGTGAGCTACAACTCGGCCATCAGTGACACATTCACCTGGGCAGCAGTTTGTCACATGGTTGCCTCCCTTTGCTCCCGCGGCTTACAGCCGAGCCTGATCAGAGCCATTGCTGCAAATGCCTTGGTGTATCATTCTTGACTGCTGCTTTTAAGAGTGATTAAGAGACTTCGGGAGCATTGCGCCATCGTTTGCATTCTTGTTCTGCCTTAGGCCAGAACTCTGTTCTCAGCGCCTGTGGGAAAGGCGGGCAGTGGTCTCTGGCCTTGCTGCGCCTAGCGATGCTGACTACGCCGAGCACCGTGTCCTGCAATGCTGCGATCAGCGCCTGTGAGGAGTTCCTTGGCCGTGTCGCCAGTTCTTGAGTTCGATAGCTTCTCACGCCGAGTTTGCACAGCTGTAAACATTGGACGCCCAAAAGCTTTAAACAATGATGCCTGCAGATGTGAGCGCAGCATATGTTGAGCAACGCAGTAGCTGGTGACAGTATGGCAGCATATGCGGGGTGATGCTTGGTTAGCGCGCCAATCCGAAGTGTACAGGTGACAACTTAGTCTTGGATCCAATAGTCCAACCAGTCAGGTTCCGGAAAATCAACCACCAATTCCCAACAATGCCTTTCCACGGAGCCGCTTCCGCAAAAAAAGAACAGGGGAAAGGGCCCTGCGCTTGTCCTGAGGCGCGGCTTTTGGGATCAGGCACTGGCTAGTCTGACGGCCCTTCCGCGAGCAGAGGCAGCCAGTGCTTCAGATCAGAAATTCTCAGCTCCGTTTGCCAGACTTTAGGACATCCCGGTGCCAATTTGAAGGGAGTCTCCTTCCTTTGTTTGCCATTTGCTTGGCCGGGTGAAAATGCCCTAGACTCAACGCTGAACGCTCAAGGCTGCTTCTGTTGGATTTTGCTGGCGGCAGGTGCAGGCTGATATCGTGGGATTCTCCGCTGCTGTGAGCGCCTGCGAGAAGGTGACTTGGGCTTGATCCTAGTTGCGGGTCCGGAGGGGGCCTCTGAAATTGCCTTGGTTGATGTCATTTGATGTCTAAGCAGTGCGGCCCATAGGAACAAACGTGCAGCCCTGGAGGGCCGAAATCCACTTTCCCTTGAGATCACAGAACATAATATTCCGAGGGAGCAGCCTGACATGGCAACATCTATGTGCCACAATTGTGCCACACTCAAACAGGGTCCAAGCCAAAGACGGGCCTTGAGATCTATCACTGTCAGGCTGGGCGCTGGAAGTGCGCGCTGGGCGTGCTGAAGAGTTTAGGCGCGTTGGTGGCCAACCTCGTGTTCTGCAACGCGGTGACCAGTGCCTGCGAGGCTTGGCACAGGAGCCACCCACACAAAAAAGGCGAAGACGCGCGCACGTTGGACGGCCTCCTTGGTTCCAAGGTTGACCTTAGCAAGCCCGCGTTGCTTTGTCAGGAAGCTTTTTTTGCCTGGTTAGGTCTGACTGGCCAGGCAAAATTGAGAGAAACAAACATCAAGTGTTAGTTTGGAGCTGAACATGTGTTCGCAGAGGCTGCCATGCTTTGTATATTTGCTTTGGTTGTCTCAAGGTGAATTGTTCCATGAATGTCATTTGAAGCGAGCAACATGTAGATTTGTTGTTTCACATAGTTCACTGATCGTCTTGCGCATGAATGACACACTGCAAACACTGAGAGTTGTTCCCGTTGCATTACATTTGCGTAGTAACAATTGGTAGGTAGTAGTCAACCGTCACATGTATGGGCACAAACTGCTCGAGTTTGCCGAAAGCAGGATAGGCCTGTTTCGCTCGTCTACTTCACTCCAGTTTGCGGGTCTGACCTTATACGCACATCAGATAGATGGGCAGGTGCGTGAAAATGGATAGGCACAACATTGCCCATACAGTCGTAAGCACATGTGCATCTAAGAAACTGATGATTTCACGTCGTTAGACCCGCTTTGGTCATTGATTGTGGAACAGGCTAGCAGCATCTAGCAGCTAGCTGGGAAGGCGCGGGCCGATCAGCTGAGGAAAGTGCGGGCAAGTGGCCGCACGCATTCTGGAACGTTCAAAGCCTACGCAGCCAGTCACTGCAGACTGATGTCTTGAGCTGCCACCTCAGTATGAAGTTTGTGTAATTCACATTTTTTTTGCGTCAGCTTCCTTGTTTGAGGCCGGGTCAAGTCATTGTAATTCCGAACGCCCACTACTGGTTCAGGTTACAGCGGGGCAATCAGCGCTGCAGAGAAAGCAGGCAAGTGGGAACTGCCTGTCCTCATCTTGGCAGCCACCTGGCAGCAGGTGTGAAGGGTTGGGCGAAGACTTGCAAATCTGCATATTGGCTCAGGGCCTGGAATCAGCGCAGCTGCAGCTTGCTTGCAGTGGCTTGTTTGTGTTTTTGGTTCCCGTTCGCCAGGTGTGTCAGTGTGTCCGCGAGCGTTTGCAAGTGTTGTCAAGGAAGGCTCAGAAAGTGTGGTTGCTATGACCTGCAAATGGTTGTCGTCGTGCCATCAAGATTTGTGTTTCAGGGGGTTGGCGGCGTCTATTCGGTTGAGGTTTGTCAGCACTGGTCTTTTGGGCATGCCTTGGAAGATGTCTTGTGGGGTATCTTTGGGGCAGGCTTTGGGCATGTGTTGCGAAATTGTGTTCGTTGTGGATTGTATTTGTGCACGTTGCTGTGAGTTGCATGTTTTGTTGGCTGGCTTGTTCTTGGCCAAGTTGAAGGGCTGTGCCACCTGCTAAGGCAAGTTGATGATATGTGCTTTGGAGCTCCTTGTCCGCAAATCCACCGTAGCTTGGATTCTCCCATGTCGGTTGGACCTGCTGAGGCTGCCATCTCTGCCTGCCAGCGAGCTGAACGAGACCGTTGGGGTTAGGGCGGCATGAGGGAATGCGGGAAGGCCACTGCCTTTGCCTGCCACTACCTGCCACCTGAACGTCCTGGCTGTAAATTGGTGACGTGCCTAGAGGGTGCTCATCACGCAGCCTCCCAGACGACATGTCTGCAGAACCAGACCGCCAAGCCAGCACGCCGTGCAAGAGCCCGTTGCCCAGTGCTCAGTTCTGAGTCACATGTCTGGACCACATGCCTTGAGCTACTTGGCCCTTCCAGGCATCCGATTCAACGCGTTATGCAAGCGGGGCGATGCAAGTTGCCACCGCGATCCACAACAGACAGGCCAGGATACTATCATTTGCCAAGGAGTGGCACGTGCATGCGTTGTAAAGAACTCCCGGCTCTTGTTTGTTTGCTTGTTGTGCGTCGTGCATTGCATGCAGATGTTGGCAGAAGACACGTCGCCCAGCAAGTGTAGTTTCATACCGGCTCCCCTGAATTTTGTGCTCAGCTTCACCACTTTAGCGGTACACAGTTCTCGCCCCATTTGGCCGTGCCAGCATGCCATACCTGACCGAACAGCACCGAAACAATTCCGGGGAACAACAAGAAAGTCTTACTCGCCTTTGGAGCACCTGCCCTGACCCATTTCGGACCACGCTCATTTCATGTCAACCACCTGGCAACTGGGGCGCATGGCTGCAACATGCGCTTCAGACAGCGATGCCGTGCTTCACCAGCATCGAGATACGCGCAAGGGTGCAGCCGTATTCTTTAACGCATGCTCTCAGGACTTCTCGGGTGCATTGCGCTTTGCGCCCTCGGCGCCCTCGGCGAGGTCAGAGAAGTCAGAGAGCGAGTTGGAAGTTTAACGAACTCATCTCAGAGCGCAGGCCTTCTGCCAAGCCTCAAGGAGCAGGCTGCCGGGGCCAGGGCATTCCGGGGCGCGCGGAGTCACGTCTTGCGACAGGCGGCTGACCTGCGCCTTTGCCAGGACCTGGTGAAAAGGCAGTTGTCACTCCCCCACTCCAAGGCATTCCAAAGCCACAGATGAGAGCTGCCCGAGTCAAAGCAATGTTCCAAAGGTGCTGGCTTCAGCCCAGCATCAAATGGCACTCTCCTGGCGGGGTGTTGAGCATTGTGAGTTACAGTCACAGTGCGTGCAGAGGAGGTTCTTGTTTTGCACTTGTCAATAACCAATAAAGCATGCCAGAGTGCGCAGTGCTTAGCGCTTTGGTTCATGCTCCTCGCGAGGAGCAGCGGGCCGGACACGTGGTGGTGGCAAGGCGGCCCTGGAGACGAAAGCGAAGAAGAGATGACAGCCACGTGGCTGATTCAAAGAAACCTGTGATTTACAGGCCCAAACGAATGATACAGGGCCTTTGGCAAAGGAGCGCGGCCCACCATGGTTTTATGTGGGAGGGAATATCTTAGGGTTTGGGGGCGAGTCAATGAGCAAGGTGTACGTGCCCATCCCAGAGAATGTCCCTGTCACAGAGGTTGTGGTAGAGATAAGGCAGGGTTCCAATTAGAGAGCTGGGTGCTGCGGCGCATTTCGTCACTGACAGCCGCTGTTCAGGCCCACCCGCCTGTTCGTCGGCCTCAAGAATCAGAAGCCATTGTTGGAGGGACCGCTCTGGAAGGAAATCAAGGCTCCATCACTCAGTCACTCAGTCGCTCAGTCTGAATGGCTTCAGCTTGAGGCAGATGAGTCTGGGTGGGTAGTGGATTGGGAACATGGCAAGCGGTGCATCATCCTCACGCTCATCAAGAGGGATGTCCCAAGCCTAGCAGACCTCCCCTCCACCCATCATGGGGCCCGTGGATGCATGGATCACGTTTTCATCCAAGGTGTGGATCGACCCCCGGCTCAACTCATGATTGCAAGCCAAACGCACTGCAACGACTGTGGCTTGTCACAGCTTGCGCCAAGGACTACGATCACCTACTGAAGCCGGACGCTGACCAACCATGACAAAAGAAGTGACCAGACCTCCGCCTGCGTTTCCATTTTCCTGCGCTTGGGAGGTCACACGAGCTGGCAGGGGGTTGCAAGCGCGCGTCTACAACTCCCGGCGTCGGTGTGACCTTCTAGGGCTCAAGGCAGCCTTACGTCCCACATCCTACCATGAAAGCATGAGGCGGGGAATGGCGGGGAAGTCAAAAAAAGCAATTCTGAATTGCCAACCCCCGTGCCGTGAGTGCATGCAAGCTTCAGGGTGAAACAACCATGTCTCCGGATTGGACATGATGGGGGTGGGGAAGGGGGAAAGAAATGGCAAGGTCAGAAATGACCAGCTGCCATGCAGTCAAAGTGCTTGGACAAGGTCTTGGGCAGAGCGATGCCTTCCTTTGCGCGTTTGGCCACCTGTTCGGCCCTTGCTCCTTGGCAGTTGCAAGCTGCAAGCTGTTTGCCGCTGCTGCCGGGATCCGAGGTTTTGCATGGTTGCAGTGAAGCTGCCCTATGCAGATCGCCGAATGCTGGTGACTTCCCTAAGCTGGGAGGTGCAATTTGCAAAGACTCAGATGCGGCTAAGGCCAGGTGCTGATGCAGGCCAGTCGGGTGCCTCGGCGCTGAAAATGACTCCGGTGCCTTGCCTAAGGTGGCAGTCATGAACTTGAGCCGGGCGATCCAGGAAGGCAAACCTCATCCAGAGGAACCGACCGAGTTGTTGTTGTTGTTGTTGTTGTTGTTGTTGTTGTTGTTGTTGTTGTTGTTGTTGTTGTTGTTGTTGTTGTTGTTGTTGTTGTTGTTGTTGTTGTTGTTTGTGGTGTTGTTTGTTGTTGTTGTTGTGGTTGTTGTGTGTTGTGTGTGTTGTTGTTGTTGTTGTTGTTGTTGTTGTTGTTGTTGTTGTTGTTGTTGTTGTTGTTGTTGTTGTTGTTGTTGTTGTTGTTGTTGTTGTTGTTGTTGTTGTTGTTGTTGTTGTTGTTGTTGTTGTTGTTGTTGTTGTTGTTGTTGTTGTTGTTGTTGTTGTTGTTGTTGTTGTTGTTGTTGTTGTTGTTGTTGTTGTTGTTGTTGTTGTTGTTTGTTGTTGTTGTTGTTGTTGTTGTTGTTGTTGTTGTTGTTGTTGTTGTTGTTGTTGTTGTTGTTGTTGTTGTTGTTGTTGTTGTTGTTGTTGTTGTTGTTGTTGTTGTTGTTGTTGTTGTTGTTGTTGTTGTTGTTGTTGTTGTTGTTGTTGTTGTTGTTGTTGTTGTTGTTGTTGTTGTTGTTGTTGTTGTTGTTGTTGTTGTTGTTGTTGTTGTTGTTGTTGTTGTTGTTGTTGTTGTTGTTGTTGTTGTTGTTGTTGTTGTTGTTGTTGTTGTTGTTGTTGTTGTTGTTGTTGTTGTTGTTGTTGTTGTTGTTGTTGTTGTTGTTGTTGTTGTTGTTGTTGTTGTTGTTGTTGTTGTTGTTGTTGTTGTTGTTGTTGTTGTTGTTGTTGTTGTTGTTGTTGTTGTTGTTGTTGTTGTTGTTGTTGTTGTTGTTGTTGTTGTTGTTGTTGTTGTTGTTGTTGTTGTTGTTGTTGTTGTTGTTGTTGTTGTTGTTGTTGTTGTTGTTGTTGTTGTTGTTGTTGTTGTTGTTGTTGTTGTTGTTGTTGTTGTTGTTGTTGTTGTTGTTGTTGTTGTTGTTGTTGTTGTTGTTGTTGTTGTTGTTGTTGTTGTTGTTGTTGTTGTTGTTGTTGTTGTTGTTGTTGTTGTTGTTGTTGTTGTTGTTGTTGTTGTTGTTGTTGTTGTTGTTGTTGTTGTTGTTGTTGTTGTTGTTGTTGTTGTTGTTGTTGTTGTTGTTGTTGTTGTTGTTGTTGTTGTTGTTGTTGTTGTTGTTGTTGTTGTTGTTGTTGTTGTTGTTGTTGTTGTTGTTGTTGTTGTTGTTGTTGTTGTTGTTGTTGTTGTTGTTGTTGTTGTTGTTGTTGTTGTTGTTGTTTTGTTGTTGTTGTTGTTGTTGTTGTTGTTGTTGTTGTTGTTGTTGTTGTTGTTGTTGTTGTTGTTGTTGTTGTTGTTGTTGTTGTCTTCTTGTGCGTTCCGGCACTTGGTTCAGGACAGGCTGCGGAGGGGCGAGAACGACCTTGTCTCCTTCCTGCCCTGTGGTCAAAGCTTTGTACTGAACGAGTCCTTTGACATGAATGCGCAGTGCCCGCCGAGCTGCCCATACCATGCCTTAGACCAGCGGGGTTTGCCGTGTACTGCCACCTGCGCAACCTCCTCTCAGTGCCGAGTCTTCAACCCAGACGCCCCGGTGGCAGACATTGTGACGGGAAGCTGCCGTGGCGCATTGGTGGATGGCGGGGGCCTCAGTTGCTTTATCTCCGAAGGTTTATGGCATTGGCCGGTGCGTGCTGTTTGGAGAAGTTCGTGCACACAGTTGTTGAAGTCGCACCCGCTGTATCTGTTCACGCGGCATCCGCGGCTTGCATGGCTGGTGGGATGCGTTACTGTTACAGCTCGTCTCCCGTCGTTGGCAAAATATGTGCGGGGAAGCGTGTGGCATATGCAATGTTGCAGTGGGACTTGCAGTGCGGGTGCAGTCTGTTCATAGAGCGGGGGCAGTAGACGGTTTCCTGCCGGTGCTTCCTGCAAGGGCTTGGGTCTCGCCCGTATGTTGGGCAGGTCTCGTCCGGGTCTTGTCCGGAAGCACCTGCAAGCAGCGTTTCGTGGATGGGCTAGGGACTGCAACAGGGCAACTTTAGATGCGTTTGTGTCAGTCTCTCCCCGTGCCAGCAATTCACTGCAAGCCCCAACAACCGGATCACCCCGGAGCCCATCTTGAAGTTTCTTGAGCTTCTATGGTTGTTGGAGCTCCGTGTCACACGCTTGTTTGGGAGGCAACGGCCTGACCCGAGTGCAACAAAAGTCCAATAAAAGCAACGAACTATCATCGGCCAAGTCTTCAAACTTTCAGAGAGCCGTCGAATTGACCGCCACTTATGTGCGATGCTAGCCCGCATATGCCCAGCCCGTCAATGGAAATACGTCGCAAACCAGTTGCGGTGGAGAGATTGGCGCACTTTCAGCGAGAGACCGACACAACCACATCTAAAGCTGCCTTACGGCAGGTGGAGATATTGGCACACTTTCGGCTTGCCTAATGCCCGGCCAAAACTCAGGTTGCTACCGGCCAAAGCTCGACGGCACAGACACTTGCGCGGAGTGTGCTTCTTGGTTTCAGCTCACCGACGGCAAATGTCGGGCGCGGTACTTGTGGGTGGCCTACCTTGTGCTGGGGCTGCTGTGCTGCCTGGTGCTGCTGCTGCTGGCCTACCTGGTAGAGCTGCACTGGCAGCCCAGCCCAGATAGTTTGGTTAGAGTCATGGCGTTTTTTGCGGCTTTTGCTTGGCACGTGTGTCTTTTTGCTGCTTTCTCAGGCAAGGCCGCCTGAAATAAGAGTGTTTTTTTGTTTTTTGCAGGCGGCCGGTGACCAACCTTTGCGGCCTGGAGCACGCGCTGGCGGCCCGGTCGCGCTCGAAGTATCGGGTCTCCAGCGAGTTGGGCCGGGAGTTGTGGCCGCTGACCACGAACCTCTGCCGCACCTCGGTGGGGGGACCCGGGCTGTTGCTCCACTTCAACTTCCTGGCGGTGGCCGGAACCTCAGAGCTGGGTCCTCATGCCAGATGAAGGTATGAAGGTTAACTGGGGGCACTCTGGTGGACATCATCATGGGGATGCGGATTTCCAGACGGAGTTGCCTATTGGAATTGAAGGGGTTCAGCCAGTTGACGTCTTAGGTCGTGATTTGGGCAGCGGCTGTGGGGCTGGGCTGGCTCGTGCTTGGCTATGCCGCGCCTCAGCAGAAGTCAGCCTCGCTCACAAATTTTGAAAGCGCCTGGCACCCCGGCAACGCTTTCAGGTAGATACGGAGCTCCTCATCCTCGGCCGAAAGCAGTATGGCACCGCCTACAGGCCCAAATCCAGCGCTTTCACTCGTCCGCCAAGTTGGCTCCAGGAATTGTGTGCTGGTGGCTTGGGGCTACACCACGCAGCAAAGGCCAGGCCCAATGATCGACCTGTGAAGACATTTATTGGCGGAGGCTCATGCAAATCAAGATCCTTTACCTGGCGCTCGTCTATGTGGTAACTTGCCGCTTCCATTGTGCACCACGGGGCGCTTGGGTAAGCTTGCAGGTGGTGCAGTTGAAGATTCTGCTTCGACATATGCAGCATTCAAGGTGACATTTATTGGTTGCATATGGCATGGAGTTCGGCAACTGCGCCTGTTCCAAGCCAGTGACGCGCCTCTTTCGCAGCGCATTTGGGGCAAGTCGCAAAGGCCTTTCGGAATTTGCGGGCTTGTTTCCGGAATGGCAAGCCAAGGTGCAAGACACCATGAAGGCAGTAGACCTTTCATGACCTTTCCACCTTTCTTTGACTGCGGCCTCCGCAGGCCTTCGCTGCGCTGGTGAAGGGTTTGCCGTCCATCGCTGCCTCCGAGGCCGAGATTTGCCCCGTTCCTTCGTCTCTTTTGGGATGCGTAGGACAAGCTGGAGAAGGATTTGGCTGAAACGGTCTCCTCCCTGACGGGTGGCTCGGTCTGAATCAGCGCAAAAAGGCCCATCAGAAGCCATTGCAACAGGTGAGCCTGTCGTCGGGGTGTCTGTGACTTGGCAGCAGCAGCAATTTTGCAGCGCGAGCCTGAAGACCTGCAAACCCAAATGGGGCACCAGGCTTTACGCCTGTGCGTGACTCATGTTTCGATGCACGCGCCATTGCACAGTCGTTGCGTTGCCGTGCCTTTCGCAGATTTTTGGCTCAGCTCGGGTAGACCCGCTCTGAATCAAGGAGTCGATGTACTACGCCACTTGGCTGGCAGTCTCCGACGCATGGGCACCGTAGATGTCAGGCGGCATGTAGATGCAAAGTCCCCGTAACCCGATTAAGGTTTGCCAGGGCTGCTCAGGCTGGTTGCTGTCATGCATGTTGCTTGTTGTATATGTTTTGGGATCAGCCCTGCGAGGGCAAAGTTGCTCTTGATTTCGGCGCTCGCTGATTGGTTTCAAGGGCTCATCTCCATGCATCTTATTGCATGCCGATCCCTCCCCCGGCCCACGCAGCACAGTGACTTGTTGCTTCAATAGCTCGGGCGCATATGGGCCGGGTTGGCCCATGCGGTGATGGCGGGTCCGCGCTGCTGCCGAACGCACACCCTGGAAGTCAGATCATTGGTGTCGCAAGGCTGGGCTTCGACTGTCCTTTGCTTCAGCCCCTTCAGCCCCTTCAGCCCCTTGTTCCAGGCAACTTGGTTTGCTTTGGGGCAATGCTTGGCATATCTTGACGTCTCAGGTGCGCTTTGCCCCGAAGTTGACGAGCCCTTCAAGTCCCTTTCGGCAGATGAGCTGGCTGAGCTGGCGAAGTTACATGCCTCTAGCAGCGGAGACTCGTGGATGATGATTGTAGGCGGCGAGCACGGCGGGCGTATGCGACCAGACTACGAGGGTACGCGCCCCGGCCCTTATTTGGCCGGGCACTGCTCGCTCCAATGGATCGGCAGGGTCTACTCGCGGCTGTTGCCCTTCTTCGGCCAAGACCGGGTGATCGTTGTGGCGCAGCTCAAGGAGACCTTGCAATGGCTCACAGCGGCCAGTGCGGACGAGCAGGCCGCACAGCGGCTTGCAGGCCGCGCATCGCTGCTGCCCATGTTGCGGAAGCAGCTGGCTGAAGTGCAGGAGTCCTGCCGGGATCTCATCGCACATGGAGGGGCCCACTACGACGGCGAGGACGTGAACCCTGCAACGGTTCTGCAGGTGCTGAGGGGGGATGCTCCACCATCCAAGCCCTGCGTGCCCAAGCACGGTGTGCGAAGTGTCTTGCTGATTTTTGTGTCACATGGTCATGCTCACCCAGCTGGGCCTGGCAGCAAACATCACGAGTGGTACATGCATTTGCCATACCCCGTCCCTGAAAGCCAAGCCGACTTGTATGATGTGGTGTCACATGAAGGTTTCCGTGATGTTGATCCTCATCCCGACTGGGACTGGGGTGCTCCCAAGCACAGATGGAGGCTGTACTCGCAAATGCTTTTCCAGGCGTACCACAGCATCTTGGAGCAATCGCCCCAGAGGCGCCTGGTGGTTTTCCACCAATTCTGCTTATCCGGGGGCGTGGTGGAGTTCATGCGGAGGCCCAGCTACCGGACGTACTTTGGGACTCAGAGTTGGCCCGTCTTCGCGGTGACCACCGCAGGCTGCTTCGAGCCGGCCCTGGGCAGCTTTGTGGGCATTTGGTGCGAGGAGCTCGCTGCGGCCCTGCAGATGAAGCTGCGCAGGTCTGGGTTTGACATCTGTTTGACCGGAAAGGCCACCAAAAAGTGCGGGTTTCTTCAAGTGCCAAACATTGTAGCTTGCCAAAGGGCTTGCCTGACCCAGGTCTCTTGGGGACGTTCAGAGGCGTGCGGAGGCACGGTACTGGGCCGAGAACCGCGGCATCAAATTCACCAACGACCAGATCCTGGCGGAAGCGGCAGACGCCCAGCCGTCAGAAGCACCATCCGGATCGGCCGGGTCAGAATGCTCGCACGCCTCAACAGTGGGGAGGGTGGGCTGTGAAGCAGGCTTTGATGGCAAGTCATGCCAGGCCATGGCAGCCCTGCCTGTGCAGGAGATTGTGAACGAAAAAGCGTAGGGACCAAAAGGTCAAGTGATAGTAGGAGAGGTGTGCCGTGTCCTTTTGAAGTCTGTGCGTTTGTTCCGCTCCCAGTGCATCGACAAAGCTCTTAACAGAGGCTCATGTACATAGGCATGACCCTACCCGAATTCGTGACTAGGAGCTAGTTTTGCCTGAGACAGGCAGTTTGACTACTGCGCCCCAGTTGAAGAAATCGGGCCATGCGAGGGCAATGGGTGCGAAAGCCGTTTCCTTGGCAAGCAGAAGCTACCTTCCAGTGATTTGATCTGGGCGAGGCGCCTGCAATGGCTGCGGCAATTGTTGCTCGCTTGGGGCCCCAGTGTCCGAGTCCCCGGAAGTTCGCGGAAGTGCGAGCTGAGGAAGTGCTGCCAGGGCGTTGAAGCAGCATGCAGCGGCTGCGGCAAAGCCATCGACGACATGTTCGGCGCGTGCTGTGCGGGGCTGGGCGCGGCATGTGGCGCATGCTGCCTGCCATTTGTAAAGATCTGGGAGCGAGCCTCGGCACGCTTCAACCAAGCCATTGCCCGACAAGCAAAGCTCAGTTGCCCAAAGCCGACTTGTTGGACCTGTCGCTTGATTTGGGCTCATTTCTAGGTCCCAAAAGGTTAACCATTATTTCCAGGTTCCTGGGGAAACTGAAAAGATAAAGACCCGCCTCTTTCTGCCTTTGGAAAGTCCATTGCCAAGGACCCCTCGGAAGCTACGTGGTGGCTTGGCTCTGCATTAGGCCTTTCTGCACGAGGTGACCGTTGGGGCCATGACCGCCGGGGCTGCACGCCGTGATAGGATGCCACGCATGGCCTGGGAAAGACAGGCATCATGGTGCCATGGTTGTATCGCGCCCTTTTGCCCTGCATCTCGCAAAGGGGTGAAGGCACTGGGGCCGTGCGAACTGATTCGAAGCTATGCGAGGTGCTATGTTGGCTTTTCAACCTGCCCACGGCCATCCTTTCAGCCATTGAACTCACCAAGCCGGAGGCATGGCTTCCGAGTCGAACGCTGCTGTATGTGTGCTCGTGTGTGCTTGAAGTTTGCTTCAGCTGGGCCTTTAGACTTTCAATTGCAACAACCTGATCAACTCCTTGAAAAGTGCCACAGGTCCAAGGGTGCACTAGAAGAAATCTCACTGCCATCTATGCCTTCAACTTGGTGGCCTCGATCCTGTGCCACGGCCCAGCTTCCATTCGACGGCGAGCTCTTGCGGGCGGGCAAACGCCATCAGCGATGTTTTTGTTTCGAGGCACGCAGCCTTCGCGCTCTACCTGCAGAGCAGGCGGTGTGGCCGTGCCTAGTTTTCATCAATTCTCCCAGTTTCGGGTTCTTTGACAGGTTGGCATCCGGCCTGGCCAAGGCTGAAGCGGAGCTCAGGGCCCCAAGTGCCAAGGAGCAAGTTCAAACCTCCCACCTTCCATGACGCAACGCTCAAAGCCCTGCGTGGCGATTTCCCAGGAGCTGATGAAAAGCGGCGGCCTTGGTAGTGAGCACATGGCCAGCTTACGCTCAGACACAAGGAGCTTGGGACATTGTCCTTTACGACTTCGTGTTTCTTTTCTACATCTTTGCTGCTTGGCCGCGATTCGTTTTGCTGCATGCCACTGGATCTGAGTTTCACAGCGCCCTGAGGTGCTGTTGGGGTCAATCGGCGTGTCCCTAAGAAAGAACCGGTGGACTTGAGCTTGGATTCGCGAGCCTCAGGCTTCAACTGCTATGCAGCAGGTTGGCCTTTCCTTTGTGGTGAGGGAACTTTTTGGCCGATCTTGCTCCAAATGCTCTTTTTCTTTGCAGCACCTTGGCTAAGAAGCTGCTATCAAAAACCGCGAATTGGATCAAGTTGCACGCAATCGGGCAGGCCATTCAGTTCGCAATCCTTTGGTTCTGTATGCTCTCCTGCACGGATTGCTGCCGCGATCTGCTCCCCGTGCGGATTCTGCTTGGAAAGCGGGGCCCGACCCCCAGTTTGATGCACACGCTACGCAGATAAGTTGTAGATACTTGTGGATGCGCATTGTGAGGCTGCCATGTTTCTTCTGGAGATCCCTGTGCTGAGGTGAAACTGTAGCCCAGCCGCAGCTGCTTGGCAGAGCTAGGGCGGCTGCCGTGCATGGGTTCTCCACATTTGCCTCATGAGCGCAAGAGTCATGTGGTTCTTTGCAGGGTGGTTGGGCAGCCGCAGATGGTGACCCAATCTCCACAGGTGCCTAGGCAAGCACAGAGCCCACACTCTCCGCAGCATCCGCAGCAGTACCCACAGCAGCAGCCACAGCCGAGCGCTGCTCAGGCCGCGCTCACCTGTGGTTTGTCCCAATGCATGCCATGCCCATGTTTGGCTTGCATCGCGCCAGGCGATGTATGCTCCTCGGCATGCATGCCAAGTTGCCTGCCAGTTTGGGCGCTGCTTGCAGTAAGGTTCCGCCAGCAAGCGCGCCGCCAGAGTCCAGCGCGACACGCGCCCAACAGGCGAGTTGCACCCATTTTCGTTTGCTTCGCGCAGAGGAAACGCAAAATGCGCACAGCTACACTGGGATATCGCCGCATAGGCGGCAGCTGTCGGTGGCGCGGCTTTGGAGTCGCTTGCCCAGAGTTTGGCCTTGCCATTTTGCTCATGCTTTTTGCCCAGAATGCAATTTGATGCAACTTGCACTTCCAAGGAAGCTTGGGAAGTGGTTCCAGGACAAAGGGCGGCCCAAGCAATGAGCTGCAGAGTTTCACCCGGCCAAAATCCAAGCATCCGAGTTGCACGGCCAGCTGGATCTACGCGGCCCCTGGGGAGTGAAGACGCCCCTGGTTGCCTCACGAGCTTGCAGAAGCCAAGCCTAATCAGTTGAAAAGTTGCACCGGGTGCAGCAAGCTGCACTTGGAATCCTGTTTCATGAACCACGTTTCCGCTCCCACAGAGGAAGTTGGATGTTTTGCTTCGGGCCCAGGTGTGCTGGAGCTTCAGCGGCTATAAGGCCAGGCCGCTTAGCCCTCCGTTCAGCGGCACCGCTGCGTGCCAGGAGCAGGTCAGCGAGGTGTTGCACCAAAACCTTGACCACGAGCAGCCGCACTTGCAGTCTAGTGACTTGTCGTGTGTGCGCGCGTTCCTGTGGTAATGCATTTATGTTGTGTTTATGTGTGTGTGTGTGTGTGTGTTGCAATGCTCTGTGTGTGTGTGTGTGTGCGTGTGTCTCTGCATATCTCTTTGTGTCTCTTTGTATGCCTGTGTTTGTGTGGCGCGGAGTCCGTGATCTATCCAGGGACCGACCTTTTTCATGCAGGGGCGTGTGGCACTCTCGTCCTACCACGCGCAACGAAGCTGTGGGCGAGAGTGGGAAGCAAGGCATGATCCGCCATGGCAAATGCTATATCTGGGCTTGGTTCTCCGCAAGGCTGTGTGCGCTTCGCCCCTGTGCAATTGCTACAACTCTGACATTGATTGGCTTCCGCCCTCGGGAGTCTAAGTGTGTGTTTGTGTGCTTTTGTGCCTCTGCGTGCGTGTGTGTTTGTGTCTCCGCGTATCTTGGTTTGTTGTTGTTTGTGTGTCTATGTTTGCGCATCCGTGCTTGCGCGCGCGCACGTAAGCGCCTTCCTTTGCATACTGCGTTGCGTGCGCATACGTGCATGCAGGGGTTGGTCGATCGTTTGTGGTTTCTTCTCTCTGCCTTTCTGTCTATGCGTGTGTAGGGGGGACAGTAAGAGGCAGGCCATGGGGCCACGTGTCAAGACAATGGGCCGCGTTGCCAAGAGTCAAGCCGAGGCGAGGCTGGTGGGCTCCGACAGTGTCTCGGCTGAAGCTGCATGGCCCGTCGTGTTGGCATGGCGGCCCAGGAGCGTATTCAGTGCTGAGACTCTGGTCCTAGCAAAGTTTGAAGGGCCTCAGGACAGGAAATGCGCCGGGAAGCGGAGAAGTGATTTCATTTGTTTGGCGCAAGGACCGCATTGAGGAAGAAGCTGTGCAAGAGCTCCTTGATTGCAATTTGGCGGGGTTGTGGGGGTGCCATGCCCCATTGACCCTTTTGGCAAGTCCCAGATCAGATGTGGTTGGGACGCCGCAGAGCTCTTTTTTTGCCTGAAGGCTGCTGAAGAACGTGCGCAGTAGTCAGCTGGCAGCAAGCGGCAAACAGCCGAATTGCACTGACGCAATTTGCCGGCCTTTTTGCATTATTGGGGATGGCGATTCCCTTTTTTGGTTTGGTTTAGTGGCGCACTGCGATTAAGCAACGCATTTTGGTTGGCATTGCCTTGTTTGGAGGTGGAAGCAGGGCGGTTTGCTGCCATGAGCTCCCAGAGCCCTCTCACGTGAGGTTCAGAGGCATACGTGGTGTTTGAGTCGCGCCTGGCACGGGACAAAGCGCTGCTGGCGCTTGCTCAAGGCTTCTCTTTCCGAGGCGTGGTCAGGCCTTTGCGCAAGGAAGGGACACCTATCATATAAGATCATATTACAAAATGGGTATGTCACTCTAGATTGGAGGCACCCGCTCTTCAAGGCCAACCGCGTTGTGTTTATGTTGTTTCACTCTTCAAATGTTTTGGAGCTTTTCCCTTGAAGCTTTGCGTCAAGTGAGGAAGGCCTCTTTGGGGCTTTGAGCTTCGAGCAGTTGGCGCAGTTTCAAAAACAGGAGGCTTGAAGCCTAGCTCAAACTGTGTTGCACAAACCCTTCCATATTTTGTATAATTATTAGTGGCCGCCAGTGGCCAAGACTTTTTACGGTTTGAAAGCCACGTACAAAGTCCCAAACCTTCTTTGCAAGACTTTGAGGTTTGGAAGCCAAGTGGCAAAGTTCAAAAGCAAAGACTTGGAGTCTTATGACTTGTTGTTTTGTCAGAGTGCAGCTAAGACTTCGAACTTGTTTGACTTGTGCTTTAGGTGGTGGCGTAATTGGCTGGCAGCTGGATTTGTTTATCAGTCACGGGGCTATGGTAAGGGGAGAGGAACTTCACCGGAGAGAGCCGTGCTCCAGGCAACAAGCTCAGCCTAGCGGCCAGGGCCTCAGAGCTTCGGGGAGCGTCGCAGCATCGTCGCTTGTGAGGCCGCCCGCCATGAGCCGCGGGGGATTTATTGGCCCGGGCCCCGGTGTGCGATGCGCATGGGCGGGAGATGGCGAGAGTGGCAGCGGGCGCTGGCCCTTGGCCGTAGGCACAACTACGGTGGAACGCGGTCCTCCAAGATGTGGAAACTTCTGAAAGGCCCCGGGGCCACGACACTTGCACGCCTGTGCGCGCATTGAACATCATTGAACACTTGCATTGAGAATGCGCAGAGGCCTTGCTTGCATTGGAGCTGGTCTAGCCATTTGGGTTGGTTCCTCTGCAGCAAGGAGAACGGTCAGATGTGGCCCGCTGCAGTGCGTCACTGCAAGATTGACATGGCATCAAGTGAATGGCCCAGGTGTTTTTTACGTGCCGTATGCTTGGTCCATACTTACCTTCAACTACGAGGTGGTAAGCACCTTTGCTCGTGGAGACTTGATGTCTCGCTTTCAGGGTGGCCGGCAGCCCGGAATCATTTACAGCCTCTCTTTCTCCATAGTGCCTCTGCTGCAATGAGATGTTGTTAGACAAACCGCGTCAATGCGGTCGCTGAGATCGTGGTGATTGGCAACGTCTCTATGTATCAGATTTGCGCTGCTGTTTCGGACAACGTGGGCTTCAAGTATAAGGAGACACGTGAAGCTTGTTACATGCCGCTTGGAATGGCAAGCAGCCAGGAGCAAGTCGATTGCTTGAAAGACGGGCCGTTTGTGCTGAGGGTTCTATATTTCGTCTCCGTCTGCTTGAACATCGTGTTGGATCTTGTGCTGCTTGCCTATCCTTATGCCTCCCTCCCGCTTTCTCAATCAAGGTCAGCCTCAAATGTGATAAGGATGACCTACTACATGTCCTTTGCCATCATGGTGCACCTGGGCTTCCGAACCCACGATGGCATCCCGCTCTCCAAGCTGCCGTTCTTCGTGCAGCGCTTCGAGGTGCCGCCTGGCCACCTGCGCCGGCGTGGTTGAAACATTTGGAACCCAAGTGGCAGGCTTACGCAATTCAGCGTGCCATGGGTCAAAACCTGCCCCTCGCTTGCACGCAAGGCCAGCACTTTGGTGAGACGGTGGGAGTGGATGTGCAGGTACGAGTACGCTTTTCCGTCCACATTCCTTCTGCCCTTCCTGGGTGAACCAGCACTTGCCATCTTTGCCAGCAGCCTCAGACAGAAAAATAGTGATATTCGCACGTGTGGGTGCCGTGTTGGCTTGCACATCTTTTGGCCGGCCAACCCGATAACGCGCGTCGAAAGGCGCACTCCGCACTCGAGCGCAGGGCCTCCTGCGCTTGGGCATGCTCGTGGTTCGATCACACCCTGAAGTGACGCTTGGTGCATAGCCTCGCGGCAGGGTCTCCCTTCCTTCCCCCAAGCCCAGTAGGTATGTGCCCAACAAGGGACTTCTACACCCCAAAACTTAAACACAACTAGAGGACGAGTGGCCACGATGCTTTCGGGACCAAGGAGGTTTGCCGCATCGTAGTTCCCCATTGGCACCAGGTGCAAATGTCCACTTTTGCTCACAAAAACTCGTAGACCCAACGAACAAGTTCACTTTAGGAGCCCGCGGGTGGCCACGGCACTCCTCGCGGCCAATGACTTTGAGTTCGGCCGCTACGCGGACTCCTTGCTGAACGTGGCCTTGGCCGCCGCCGCCTTAACTTGCGAGTGACGAGTGCGCGGTGGTCTCAAGCCCTTTCCGGTAAGGCGGAAGGGGAGAAGGGGCGAAACACATGAACAGGGGCCAGTGGCACGTGCCTGCTATTTTCTGAAGGGACCCTTTGTCCAATCTCAACATGTTGAACCAATTCTAATTTTGCTGGCTACCCTATTTGTTTGGCTTAGATTATTCGGACATGCCCATTTCCACCATGGTTGCCGTAATGGGGACAAGGCCAGAAAACGGGGGGAGGGGGGTTCTACTGCACACGAATTTAGTGAATTGAGTCGCAACATTCAAGGAGGTGCCGAAGATGCGAGACAAGACGCGTTTGACAGCACCCGAATTGCGAAATGAATTCGCATTTTGTTGGACCGGCTCATAGGCAACACCCTCGAAGTTCTGAAATGCTTTGCTTTGGAGGGCTATTTTTTTAGGAGATATATTTTTTTGCTCTTGGCTTCTTGGCTTCTTGGCTTCTTGGCTTCTTGGCTTCTTGGCTTCTTGGCTTCTTGTCTTTTCGGCTTCTTGGCTTTTTGGCTTCTCGGCTTCTCGGCTTCTGGGCTTTTCGGCTTTTTGTTGGTTTATGCTGGTTTATGCGGCTTTTGGTGGCTGTTTGGCTTTGGCTTCTCGCATCCTCTGCATTCCCAGTTCCTCTTCGGCAGGTGGCGTTTTGGCTTTTGCGTTTATGCGGCTTTTGGCGGGTTTGGCTTTTTGCATCCTCTGCTTTCACAGTTCCTCTGGGCTTTTTGGCTTTTGCACCCTCTCATTGGTTTTGGGATTGGCTTCCCGCATCATCAGCATCACCAGTTCCTCCCTATTTGAATCATCACTTCTTCGGACATCATGGGGGGGACATGGGGGGACGCCCAACCCACCCGCTACTGTTTAGATTGTTTGCAGAGCAATTGCACCCCTGTTTGAATCAACACTTCTTCAGACATCATGGGGGGGGCTGCCGCCGCCCCCAACCCCCCCGCTACTTTTTAGATTTCTTGCAGAGATTGAATTGCACCCGTATTTGGATCATCACTTTTTCAAGCGTCCAATTTTGCGAGAAAATGCTGCAAAATACGGTATCTTTGGTAATCTGTGTAATTCATGTATGTCTGTATGTATGAAATTCTTAGAACATCATAGGGAAAGCCACCCCCGCTAACCCTCCTGCTGCCTTTACCATTCTATCGCACACTTTCTTGAATCTTTGCACCCCTACTTGAATCATCACTTCTTCCGACATCATGGGGGCGGCTGCCGCCCCCCCAACCCCCCCGCTATGTTTTACATTTTCGACAGAGATTTAATTGCACCCCTAGTTAAATCATCAATTCTTCGAACATCATGGGAGGGGCTGCCGCCCCCCCGCAACCCCCCCTCAACCCCCCCCCCCTACTTTTTGGACTTTTTGCAGAGCCCTGGGCTTCCAAAGGCGAAGTTAAACTTGGATTTCCCGTGGGCTCCCGAGTAAACTTATCATCTTCGTATTCACGCCTTTTCACGCTCATTCACGGTTTGCCCTTCGCACGCTAAAAAGGCTACTGGCGTTTGCGCTTCAAGCCACGCAACACCCAGCGCATGCTATGCAATCGCAGCCTTGCACGTCTCAGCAAGCCCCACTCAAGGCGGGAAGGTGCACAGCGACGTGCGGCCTGTTTGGCCCACCTCATCGCATCCTCATCTACATATGTGTGCACAAACCTTGGGTTCGTGTGGAGCGCTCTCACATCCGTTTCCAGGATATGGTCCAGCATCTTAGTTCCAACGTGTTCCAACAAAGCTGTTTCAACCGCGTTGATCCATGTGCAAGCAAAGGGCATGGATTTTTGGCCGGATGACATAGGCGAGGATTCCCGCCCTCCCGGAGGCATATTGAAATCCATGTGCTGCATGCATGCACATGAGCTCATACTCGAAATTCCATAATGCCGATAAATTAAGCTCAGGCCTCGCACACAAAGTGGCCAACAGAGTGTAGTTGGACAGGTAAGTCTTCCCCGCTTGGTAGATTGCATTGGCCTCCAGGTCATTCCTGAATCAATGACTGACAATGTTTGAGTGCTGCCCGGCCAACGCCGCATCTCAAGGCACACGCTAAAACCTTGAGTTTCGAAAACGGTTTCACTGGCCATGGAACGAAATATGCATTTTGTCTTTGGGGGGGGGGAGGGGGGGGGGCAAAAAGTAGAACGGGGCGCACTTGCATATATGCGTAGCTAGTGTCAGATGACGGCCAGCACGCTCCTGCAAGCAGAAGAACCTGCACAGCGCGGTCCTCAGCATGGGCTGGGACCAAACCTTCCTTTCTAAATATGCGAAGGACCGGTTCTATTGAAAATGCAATTGAGGCGCTGGGCCAGAACTGTGGGGGCTAGCCGCTGGTTTTCTTGCAGTTGGGTATAACCCGAAGCGATAGATTTGCCCAAAGTTCGCCCTTCTTCGTGTGGCCAGTCCCGGCGCCAAGAGCGATCAGCACAGTCAGCTAGCCACTGGCAAAGGATCCGGCAGTTCCAAGCTTTCGACACCAAAAAATGTCCATGCGCAGGCTGGTTCACCTCACACGCCCCACCCCCAAACAGCGGTCACAAGGTTTGCGCCCGTTGTGAAAATATCCTGACCCGTCTGATTTTGTGTCTAGGGGAGGACTACTTTACAAACCCGACCCCACAATATATTGGAAGTAATATGTTGGACCACCCCCAACCTCGAGTACTGCATTCTTGGGTGCCCCCAATGGTGAGAGATTAGGATCAGGCATCCAAGATAAATTAACTTTGGTGGGCAACTTGGGGCCATCTTGTAAATAAATGAAATTGAGTTGCAGACTGGTGTCATGGCACAAATGCCTCCCAGAAAACATCACTAAGCCGATTCCCACAACAGGCCAAGCCACACTCTTGACGGAGAAGCGTTTATGGCTGCATGAGATTTTGTTGATCTTCTTCCACGAGCAGAAATCTGCATAGCTGGAATTGTTTGAGATCAGCATCAAGCCGCCCAAATGCCCCCATCGAAATGAGCAGCATCCTGCAGGGCACTGTAGGGAACCCTCCTGAGACGCTGAATTTAATGTGTGTATCCTAAAAGCTACCCAACCGTAAGATGAGCCGAGCGGCAAACATCCTCCATGAACTTTGGGCGAGCCCCAAATTCAGTATATGCATTGTGCAACCTTTGAGAAGGCACACGTGAAAATCTCGAAGGTATGTAAGTGGGCCTTGGGTTTCTCACAGCTCAGGGTCACAGGCGCTGCCAGGCTGGCCGGATGCCAGGCTGGCAACACTATGTGCAGGGTTAATAGTTAACAGAAAATTGTGGTTGCCCTTGTAGCCTACCGTTTGGTGACTTTGATCCTCAAAATTAAAAGAAAAAGACACAACCCACAAAGAAAACAACCGCAGTTAATTGCTGACCTGAGGCACATGGCAAAAATGGCAGTTCTTCGGCCACAAAACGGGGTGTGTTGCGCTCGGTCCCCATCCAAAGTGCTGTATTTGTGTAGAACCTGTTTGTGATATTTGCTCCGCACTTGAAGCAAACCTTTTTGGCCCCCCAATAGGATCGGTGGCGGAACAGCATTCGAAACCAAGCTTGGTCTCCACGTAGCTCGGCTACACAACACCGTCTTTTCTCCGGAAATAGCACTTGGCCATGTTCATCATACCCGTCGTAGCAAAGATTCAGGCTTGATGTGATTGCGTGCAAGACAGGGCGTAGGGTCTCAAGCGGCGGGCTGGCCATGATTTCGCTGCGCATTGCGTAAATCAAGAAGCGGGAGCATCTCACAGAGGTAGGTCGAAATAACACCAGATCAATAAAGATGCAGGCCACCTTTTGGTAACTGTTGTTCTCATAAAGGACTGCTTCGTCGCCGTACACTCCCAGCGGCCAAAAACGCCCCTGGCAAGCCTCTGAGTTACACGCCCAGGGATCATGTCTTGCTTCAAGGTGTGACCAAAATTTGTTCAGAAGAACAGGATCAAGGCGCAGCCCAACTTCGCATATCAAATGTTGTAGCACTTTGTGGGGAAGAAGCACCGGCATGTTCATCTGCTGGTGCTTACCGTTTAGAACCACCGGCACAGAAACCTCAATGGGCTCCTAAGCACACACATGCACATGCACACATGCCTGGAACATTCACGCGCAACACCGACATGCGTAACAACCGCAGCAAGCCACACACACACAGCGCAATAATCACACCAGGTGCAAAAATAGTACACGTGTCAGAACGAATGCAAAGGGCATGCATGTGCGTGCAAGTTACACGCATACAGAAAACTGCTGACCTGACATGAATCAAAAGAGTTTGCAAACGCATTTAACGCAAAACACACGTTAAACACAACACATGTTCGGACCCAGTTGCTACAGGCAGTGCCACATGGCGAAAGAAATCCCGCGAAGCATTCTTGCCAGAGCCGACCTTGAAGCGAGCCATGCGATTTGTCCAGTGAGCAACATGGCCACGTGATTCCTCGGAGGCAAGGGCAAAAGCTTAAAGCACGGTGCCGGTGTGGGGCGATAATCAACTGGCGCATATTTTTATGGTTTTGACAGGCGTCTTCAACGCTAGCCTTCGCAGTTTCGATGGCGGACAAAGCGCTGATTTCCTCGGCGTTTGCAAAAATGGATCATGCATGTTTGGGAGTTGTAGGGCGTTGAAGGGTGCGCTATTTTCCCCCCTTCAAACGATTTGACCTTGCAACGCGGTTTCCGAATATCCCCAGTCGATCAGTGAAGTGGGTTGTGTTTGCAGCAATCCTGCATCAATGACTCGTTTACCCCAAAAGCTCCTGCCGAAAGATGCTAAGATGTATCGAATGTACCGGCTTGAGGCCGACCCGCAAACACTATGACCCCTATAGGTTAAATTGCTTTGAACATATTTGGCAAGTAGCCCCTGCAGCCAGTCGGTTAACCAGTAGCTGTTGCACGGGGCCTGCGCCACTGTCGCGCTCATCTTCAGCATGAGAGGCTCCACCTGC